GGCGGGGGAGAGGCGGAGCCGCCGCCAGCCTTCCTCGTCGCCCACGACGCTGCGCGGCCCGGCGCCGCCCCCAGCTGGTAGTGATCCGGGCTGGAAGACCGTTGCACACGGGGGAGTCGACGATCGCCTTACAGTTGAGCGGGGCAGGCCCCGCCTGAATATCCTTTCTGCTCTGCAGTAGCAGTGGTGTATGGTGTTGTCTTCTTTTAAGAAAAATTCTGTAATAGCTTGAATGACCAAAATGGGGTAACTTTTCCTCAGGCGGGCCTTGCTGCACTCTCAGCAGATGCCCACTCAATGCTGCACAGCTCAGGTTTCCCAGCGTCTGAAGGGACGTAAGACTACCTATGCTATTCTCTCTTTTCTATTAGCTCTAACAAATAGCAATTTAAATTATACTTAATGGAGTCTGAGTGCCTGCCGTGGTGAGATCATCACAGGCCAGCGACTGCTACTGCAAAACACCCCCCCACCCTGCCAGAACAGCTAGGGGCGAGGGGGAAGAGAGCACCCCAGTCTGCGTGGAGGATGTGGGAGTCGGATGTGTGTGGTACAGGTCAGTGCTCACTGACCCTTTTACAAAAAAAAAAGAACAACACCCATAAATGATAACAAGCCATTTAGGAACAGAAATCCTAGAACATCCTCTAGGTCATTCACATCCTGATGCTTCAAGGTTTAATTCTAGAGGTTTTGGGTTTTTTTTTTTAATTTAAAGAGGAGAAAAGGAGTAGTACTTCCCCTTCCTGCCCGCTTCTGTTCACACATAGACACACGTACTTCCCACGATAAAGGCACCCCTGTATTCCAGACAGGGATTGGGCTGGACTGGGAACCTTGCTGTATTTCCTGCAGGCCAACCACCCCTTTCGCCTAAGGTCAGCAAACATCTGTAGCCTCAGTGTGGGAATCCAAGTAGTGTTACTGTCAAATGACTAATACAAACTGTAGTCTCCTGCTAGGTGGAATGAATTATTTGTCCAAGATACTTGAGCATAATGCAATTTCTGAGACATCAAGGAACTTCACAGCTGTTGAGAATGTCTCATAAAAAAAAGCACAACCCTTGAGAAAAGTCAGAAACATATGAAGAATTTTTCTTAAGTTTCTGCTACTACCAGTTAAGGGTTTGTTTTTTTGACACTTTCTGCCTAGAACTTAAATAAATGTTTCCTGTTTGCTTTGTAGTGGTACATCCCTTGCAATTCTATGAAACAAAGAGCAAGAACCTTTTGTACTTTCTAATTTTAATGTGACTCAGTAGTACTTATTATATACAGACAATATTAAATACAGTACTTGTTGATTAGTACTTATAGCTAGTTTTCATTACATACAGAACAGTGTAACAGGTTCCTTTTAGCCTTTGTAGTGTTGGCATAAATTGTGTAATGGAAAGGAGGGGCAGATCAAATTATGTGCATTGGCCACGTGTCAGTGTGAAGGTCAGGATGAAAGCTATCCGAGTTTATAAGGTACATGATAAAACAAGACTTTTATAGGTTAAGGCAATATCTTACTATATCAACTAATACAGGTTTTTTAGAAAGTAAACACCTTGGGGGGAAAAAAGCCCTTAGGTCTAAAACAGAAGCAACCAACTTCCAGCCTGAGTGGAACTAGAGAACAATTTTCTGAATTTCTTTAGGTGTGAATGAGGCAATCTGAGAGAAAAGGAAGTTGATACCTGTGGAATAGAGGTGATATTAGTAGGAGAGTAAGAGAAGTGACAGATCATTATGTCTTGGTGGTGGTAAAAAGAACAGAGAAACAGGTAATTTCTAATCTCTAAAACATGGAAAAGAGAGGCAGAAGGGAAATTGTAATATGTCACAAAAAAGTCCAAAATTGCCTGATATCCACTAGCGTTGCCTGTGTCCTTAAGCCCATTTGCTATTCTGACACCATCATGACGAGTGTTGGCTGTGGCCATTCCTGATGGCCTTATTTCTGCTGTCTGCTCTCACTGCTCACACGGCATAGAGTGCTTTCAGTCAGGTGGCAAGGAGAGATACATGGCATTACTGCAGTATTTTGCAAGGAGAGGAATTAATTAATTGAGTGGGAAGGCTGTATAGTGTTTTCCTCTGTTGCACATTTTTCTGCTGAAATTCTGTTGATGGACGTCTGAAATTAGTGGGTTTTAGAGCTATACTGAATCCTAGTCTTTCTGCAGTAATATAGCTTTAATGGCAGTGGTGGACTGCATGTCAACACAGTCCAGGCTCTTGGAGCCATGAAATGTTTCTGAGCTGTCAAAAAAAAAAGAGAGAAAACAAACAACAACACAGGGAATCTCTAAGTATCCTATTAGCAATACACTGTAACTCACTATCTAGTGGAATATATAACCACTGGGCAATTTTTAAATTTCTGTGAATCAAAAATATGAAAGTTCATAACCCAGTATCCTACATTGTAGAAAACACAATATAGGTGAGCAGTTCTACTGCTATTCTATTTAAGACTATGTTTTTCAAGCTGCTTTGTCTAAAAAGAAACTTCCTTTGCCATAATAACCTCCTTGACATACAAAAATAAGTTATCCAAACCATTTATTCAAGAAAATATTTGATAAATTGCTAGTGTTGTTCTTTTATAACAACTAATTACTTCTGTAACGTTAAGGTTATATGAGCTCTTTTTACTGTGAGACAGTTTTCGTGAGAATAAATTGTCCAGACAAACATATCTACCATACTTTATTTTTTTATGAAGTACTGTAAATGTCCCATATGACCTGAGATCTTTATTATGAAAGCCACACTTAAATATACACAAAAGATCTTAAATATAACTGTCAAGATACAGTTCAAGGTTTTTTTTTTTCCCCGTCAAATATCTGATGCAGAAGAATGATACAGGTTTTAATAAATAAAACAGTAAATTATGATATGATGAAGATATCTAAGAAAGTTATTCATTGCTGTATACATATAAACATCAGCATCCTTGTACCCTTCCTTGGGTATTTGAATGACAGTGGGTTGATCTTTTAGTTTTTTACTCACTTGTAAACAGACTTATTTCTTCTGTTTGTAAACAGACTTTTAAAAACAGTATGCAACTACTTAATGGAAATAAGCTAATCTACATGAGGAAGAGCTACAGTATCATCATTTTAGTTTAGACATTAAGTTAGAAGACATCCTCCAGCCAGATAAAAAACCCCTTGTCATTATATATTGATCTGAATTCCGTGCAAATAGTTAACACACTGCATGTCATTAATAGTGTATTCCTAATTACTTCTTTATTCAAGATGAAAAATGAACTGTAATACGGATGTTTTATTTATTTCAGGTAAATAAGATACCATGTTCTTCTGCAAGAGCGTTTATAGCTAAAGATGTAATTATTAAAAAAAACAAGTTTTCATATGTTAAGATAGAGAAAATATTCAGTCATGAGTATTTACAATCACCCATGTTTAAAAGCATTGCTAAGTTCTGTGTGCTTCATTTTATATTTCTATCAAGAAGTGTACATTCTTCCCCTTAAACTTCTGCTTCTAGACATTTTACTGTGGCCTCAGGCTTGGTTTTAGACTCTTCCACCTTTTTTCCATTATTCTTTGTTTCCTTCTCAGGTGTTTTGTCATTTGACTTAGCCTCTTTCAGAGCAGTAGTTTCAACCATTTCTTTTTGCGGATTCTTGTTTGAAAATGGGAAGGTTTTCTTGTACCTTTAAATAGAAAAAAGGATAGTAAAGCAGAAACACTGACATAGTTTGATAGTATCACTCAAGATACAAAGTGAAAAATATCTAGAATTAACTTTCTTTGCCATACTCAAGCAAAAATCTGACAAAATAGTGGCATGCTAGATCATTGTGCTTTTTCAAGCAATGTGCTTTTTAAAGAAATATTTTTTTAAAAAACAGACAATGTATATTCAGGATTCATGGTACACAACGATAAAGCTATCTGGGCTAGGATGTTAGAAATGCACACAACTTTTTGATATGATTTAATGATGCGCTGTGTTGAAGATCTTTACGCATGACAAATGAGCTCAACAATTATGTTATTCTGAACACAATCATAGTCCAATAATAAAAACTTTTACCTTGAGTCTGACATAGAAAGAAACAAGAATAAAACTGTATAAACAGACATATACAAACAGATGCACACTTCAGTGTTGCTATTTTGGCACACTTGGAAATATTTCACACTAGGCAGGACTGACTAATCAAAAATGGGCAATATTTGTCTTTGGTTCCTTTTGTAAAGCAGGGAATGGCAATAACAGCAACAAACTTTAAGTGCATAACAGGGTTTAAGATCTTGTTCTTTGTGCTACACTGTTATGTCATTATCATTACTTCTTTGCTCTTTAGCTATATATTTAAAATATTCACTGGTTGTACTCTAGGAGTTAACTCAGTCCAAGAGAAAAAAAAAACAACTTACTTTTTGATATAGCAGACTGCTAGAACAACTGAAATAATGAAGAAGATGACTGCCAGTATAAGAAGTGCAGTGGGGATACCTAGAGATAAAAGTGAAGTAAGCATAGAGTTTTTATATGTACTTAATTCTGACTTTCTAAAGGCTCATGAGCATAAATTCAGATTCTTCTAAAAACAGCCTAGTGTAAAAGAGGTACATACACATCAACTCAAGTCATTGCTGTATACATATAAACATCAGCATCCTTGTACCCTTCCTTGGGTATTTGAATGACAGTGGGTTGATCTTTTAGTTTTTTACTCACTTGTAAACAGACTTATTTCTTCTGTTTGTAAACAGACTTTTAAAAACAGTATGCAACTACTTAATGGAAATAAGCTAATCTACATGAGGAAGAGCTACAGTATCATCATTTTAGTTTAGACATTAAGTTAGAAGACATCCTCCAGCCAGATAAAAAACCCCTTGTCATTATATATTGATCTGAATTCCGTGCAAATAGTTAACACACTGCATGTCATTAATAGTGTATTCCTAATTACTTCTTTATTCAAGATGAAAAATGAACTGTAATACGGATGTTTTATTTATTTCAGGTAAATAAGATACCATGTTCTTCTGCAAGAGCGTTTATAGCTAAAGATGTAATTATTAAAAAAAACAAGTTTTCATATGTTAAGATAGAGAAAATATTCAGTCATGAGTATTTACAATCACCCATGTTTAAAAGCATTGCTAAGTTCTGTGTGCTTCATTTTATATTTCTATCAAGAAGTGTACATTCTTCCCCTTAAACTTCTGCTTCTAGACATTTTACTGTGGCCTCAGGCTTGGTTTTAGACTCTTCCACCTTTTTTCCATTATTCTTTGTTTCCTTCTCAGGTGTTTTGTCATTTGACTTAGCCTCTTTCAGAGCAGTAGTTTCAACCATTTCTTTTTGCGGATTCTTGTTTGAAAATGGGAAGGTTTTCTTGTACCTTTAAATAGAAAAAAGGATAGTAAAGCAGAAACACTGACATAGTTTGATAGTATCACTCAAGATACAAAGTGAAAAATATCTAGAATTAACTTTCTTTGCCATACTCAAGCAAAAATCTGACAAAATAGTGGCATGCTAGATCATTGTGCTTTTTCAAGCAATGTGCTTTTTAAAGAAATATTTTTTTAAAAAACAGACAATGTATATTCAGGATTCATGGTACACAACGATAAAGCTATCTGGGCTAGGATGTTAGAAATGCACACAACTTTTTGATATGATTTAATGATGCGCTGTGTTGAAGATCTTTACGCATGACAAATGAGCTCAACAATTATGTTATTCTGAACACAATCATAGTCCAATAATAAAAACTTTTACCTTGAGTCTGACATAGAAAGAAACAAGAATAAAACTGTATAAACAGACATATACAAACAGATGCACACTTCAGTGTTGCTATTTTGGCACACTTGGAAATATTTCACACTAGGCAGGACTGACTAATCAAAAATGGGCAATATTTGTCTTTGGTTCCTTTTGTAAAGCAGGGAATGGCAATAACAGCAACAAACTTTAAGTGCATAACAGGGTTTAAGATCTTGTTCTTTGTGCTACACTGTTATGTCATTATCATTACTTCTTTGCTCTTTAGCTATATATTTAAAATATTCACTGGTTGTACTCTAGGAGTTAACTCAGTCCAAGAGAAAAAAAAAACAACTTACTTTTTGATATAGCAGACTGCTAGAACAACTGAAATAATGAAGAAGATGACTGCCAGTATAAGAAGTGCAGTGGGGATACCTAGAGATAAAAGTGAAGTAAGCATAGAGTTTTTATATGTACTTAATTCTGACTTTCTAAAGGCTCATGAGCATAAATTCAGATTCTTCTAAAAACAGCCTAGTGTAAAAGAGGTACATACACATCAACTCAAGAATAGAGGTATTAGGAATCTCAAAAGGTTCATTACTCCTGCTCATTTTTTCAAGAGAGACTAAAACAGGTATTTAGGCAATCCCTGACAGATGTTTGTCTAATCTGCTCATTGGAGGGTTTTTACAACCTAGAGAACAGATTTTTGTGATTAACTATCCTTACAGTTAGAATGCTTTTCCTCATATTTAGTCTATTTCTCAGTTGCTGTATATTAGGATTACTTATTCACACCTCATATCTTGAGAACACATCCATATTTGGAGAACAACAATTCTCCTTAAAACTTTCTTGGCTTCTTTTGTTTTTAAGAGCCTGCCGAGTTTTCCATTACTCTGAGCACATGGTGTTTGCTAAGACTTTCTCAGAAATGTATTTACCCCAGATCACATTAACCAGAATGAAATTCCACCATTTCATATTGAAATATTATCAAAAAGTATAAAATAAGATCTTACTTCTACTTAAAAATTATTTAAAAATCCTCTGCCTTATAAGCTTTGCTTTTGCAAAACCATAACACTCCTATTCTGCCTCCAGTTCAGCTATATCAAAATAGATGCTGGAGTAGCAAACAAAAATAGCACTAAACAGTTTTATTACTAACATCTACGTAACTAGCTCTTCTGATTAAATAGCTACCATATATGGCCTTTACCTCCAAAGACAATGGCATCATTCTTAAAGGCAGCATGGGAAGTGTAGTTAGGAGAGTCAATCGGTGAGTATTCCTCTGGCATTTTTGTAGTAGTGCCCTCTGTTGGTAATATAGTTTCAGTTATACATATTACGCGAAATTTTATATTTTTCAGGGATTGTTCCAACTCTGTCACATTGGGCACTGCTGTGATGTTCTCAGTCAAATCAGAGCCCGAATATGCGGTTAAGTCTGTTGGTGCACTTGATGCAGGTAGCATGGTTGTAGTTGGATCTGGTTTACATGAATTAATCTGAACATCTGTAGCAGGGAAAGAGTTGTGTTGGATGTTATTTTTGTAATTACTGTACACACGTTTATTGAAATTGTTCCTCAGTCATTCCCTTCTGGAAATCATTATTTATTTATTCACAAAAGCCTTACCCAAATCAGGCATGCCTATTTGAAACCTGTGGCTACAACCCAGATTACGCACCTTTTATCATTACTCACATAGTTAAACGCGTTTTTGAGCAAGTGTGGTGCTCATTTTATAGTTGCATACCAATGACAAGATTCCTCCTGAAAATAACTTAGAATAATAATGCAAATAAAAGACAATAATATGACCTTCTGCAGAGCAGGAGACTTAACTGCAGATCCAAGATTCAAAAATATTTCTATTATGTTATGAATATGTTCAAAACATATGCATGCACTGTTGATACTTGGAACACTACTTTGAGTTCCTGGAAACAAAAGTAGCCCATAAAACTTTCAGGTAAACCAGGCACCAGTGTGAAATAAAGAAGTGACATGATTCTAATGGGGGCTAGAAAGAAACAAACTTCAGGCACGCTCAGAAATTAAGTCATTTAAGTGATGTGAATGTTGTCTATATAAAAACGTGGGTGCAAGTGGACTTTTGTATGTAAATGGAAAAGCTGAGTTCTGAATCAGGCTTGTGAAAATTCTTCTTTTCTAGTGAAGTTCTATATTCTGTAAAGCTATAAAAATTTCACTAACAAGCAGATTACAACATAAATAACAGGGAAATGACATATGTACTGTTCTCCAAATGAATCCCCATGGGAAGTCTGATGACGCAGTTACATTCACGGAATAAAAAGCTAAATGGCAGGGTCTTTTTACTTTTTCCACTACAGTTTTCAAGTGATTTTGGCATTTCTTTGGCACAAAGAAAATTGACAGAATGAGTTTCTGCCAAATATTTTGGGTAAGAAATACCTAGAACAGGCAACAGTTTGGAAAGTAAGATAAAGAAATGCAGAATCATCCCAATGTTAAATATACATTACTTTAAGTTATTTTCTAACCATTCATCAAGCTTAACTTTCTTCACATACTGTAACAGTATAATTTTTTTGTATTAAAGCTAAACAAAGCAAGTAATTTGGAATTACTTGCTACCTCCTTAGCATTACCCAACCTACCCAACATTTCTGATGCAGAATGACACATATTTCATGCACTGAAACACCATGTTGCATAGGAACAGAAGAAATAACACTACCAATAGGAGCAGCTTCTTTTAGAGCATGTTGCCTGAGTACTAATTCACCTATGCATTCATCAATAAAAGCTATGGACTGTAGAGAAAAACGAAGTTAGCCCAATCATATTGTTAACTTTACAGGTTAGGCGATAAGTCAGTTTTTAATGGTGCTTTCTCTCTGCAGTACTTTCTTATCAGCAGTCAGATACTTTGTAAGCCAACTACTTATATCACCTATCCCCCTTCACTAAAATGGCCCAGCGTCATGAACAAAGTCCCACTGGTGAAAGCATGGCCTTCTCCCGAACAGCTTTATCCTCAGTCTCTTCGTAAGCTCCAATGTTCACAGTCACCAGACATGGTCTTAAGTCTTTATATCTTTGCATGGGCGTATCTTGCATACCCATCTTTCTCCTGCTCTTTCCAACCCTTGTTCACACCTTTCTTGAAAAATTTCAGGATTTTGTACCTAATCTCTTGCTCTTGTTATCTAAAACTTGTTGGTAAGGTCTAGGGACTGATTAGAAATAATTTCTTGATCCTGTATATGGTCTAATTATTGGGATAGTTGTTACATAATAATCATAGATATGGGACACTAGCAGGAACACAATGCCTCTAATTATTTTTAGTTAATACCACAGAAGTCATTAAGAAACAATACTGATCTACTGTGCTGAGAAGATCTAACTTACATCAAGGCCCAAGTTCCACTGTTGTATCTTCAATCTGGGAATAGACAGTCAAAAATGAGGGGAAGGACAGGTCTTTTCACACATAGGATGATGCACATTATGTTTGATTTTACTGGCAATAGATTGGGAATCTAGTTAATTTTATGGTCTCTCAGCTGTTCTAGCTTATATTTTAATTTAGTTTAATGGCTACATTTCCTTTTATCAAAAACCATTCAACTTTTCCTGAAGTACCTCACTCTTGGTCTTTTTGCAAGAAAACACACATCACACACAGACACCCTGGTTAAAGGTTCGACTCACTGTCTTTCAAATTAGCGTGCCTAAATAATCAAAACATACTAAGAGCGTTGTGTTGACATTACAGAATGGTAAAAACAACTCTTCTTCAAGAGCTTTCATAGCAGCACCAAATCATTAATTTGGATTGACTGAATTGACCTTTTGTATTTCTTTTTTCCCCTATAGAGCTAAATACAGCTTGACAACATTTAAGATTGGGGGGGGAAGGGGCAACGGATTATAAGAACTCACTCGTTATGATTTTTTCCTGCAGATATTAAAAAAATAATAAAAACCAAAACACAAAAAAATGTAGTTGTCATGCTTACATACCTGAGGAATTGAAGCAGTAAACCTTAAATGTTTTAAAGGGTTCAGCATACCATGGCACTAGTCCAACGTTGCCCTTACCACATTTCTTGTTGGATGTTATCCGAGGAATGACAACCAATCCATCTTTCACCCATCCATAGCTACAATAAAAAGCATCAGTCCTTTTAATATCAGATTTATCACCAGCCTCAGATGTCTGTAAAGGTGTTCACTAAAGGTAATGAGACACTAACTGATGTCATATACCTGCATGTTTCAAAGCCATGTTTCAAAGCCTTTTCAACTTGGTCTTTACTTGCCAATTGTAGATTCAGTTGATTACATGCATTACTTGCTTCCGAGAAATTCACTTTCTCCTCAAGATAAATTCCTACACCTGTGATCCTACAAGGTGAAAGAATGGAACCTGTAATTTAGACATAAATATTCAAGGTTAGTATTTGAATATTAACATTTATTCCTCATTAAGAATTTAAGATCACATTCCACTGAATTAAATCTTGTTAAAAGTTTCTAGCTTGAAGATAGTAGAAAACTAATTTCTAGCAAAAGAGATATACTTTAAAAATAGAACATTTTCTTAACACAATAGTCTAGAATTTCAAGAGGTTTGGCTGGTATTAGACTAAATGCATATACAGTCAGCATTTGAGTCATTACCTGGAGTCAGTTTCTTACTAAAGACATTCTTACTTGTCATATTTATTCATGCAAACTAGGAAGAGTAATCAGACAGGGTTTTTTTCTTTTTTTTTTTAATTAAAATGATAAAACTAACAGTTGCACTGAGGCACTGATTCTGTCAGTGCACCACTCTTACCAATATGAGTTCTATCAAAGGTATTACACATAATTTTTCATCAAATTAATATACCAATAAGAAAATATGCCTGTACAGGTTGTATCATTCCTTATGCTCCTTATTCCTCCTAAACTTTTTTTTTTCCCCTAGCTTGGCATGATGTTTCCAACCCCCAGCCACTGTCAAGGGTTTGATTTACTGAGTGCTTGGCAGGCAGCAGGAAAGGAGGGGATAGGCTGGGTGAATTTATGACACTTTTCCCCATTCCTCCTCCATAGGCAGTTCATCCAGCTTTTTTAGATAGCCACAGCTGGCACCCTATTCATGACAGCTGCACCAGGAAATACGTAGCTTAGGTCTGATTACACCTGCTCTACTTTCTTAGCCTGTTAAGGACATAGGACAGAATTCAGGATTTCACACAGACAAGGAGAAAGGATATTACTCTTTTGCCTCCATATTTCACTGGAAGCATATCCTGGAAAAAAGATTTTTTTCTTTGAGTTATGTACAGTAATTGCCATATTAAATGAAATATTTCAACATTTCATTGCAAACATTTCAGATAACCAACAGCCACAGGTGTTACTTCCTTGCTCAATATGCTTTTCAGACTGTGTGCTCACCAGGTATGTACACTAATGAATACTTCATAAAATCTATGTATCAGAATACAGCCAATCCACAAACTCTCAAGTCAGGATGAAGTGATGCCTGCAGATCCACCACATGACTTCTTAGCAGCAGAGGTTAAACTGAATTTTATGAATTGAAAGACAGAACTAGCAGCCAAGCCACTCCCATGATGAGAATGGGATAAAGATGACTAGGCTTGTGTGGAATGCTAAAAGAAAGGCAGGCTTTTCACTCCTGCTCCCACTGGGTGTGGTGGGGTTGGAAATGGCTTCTAGTAAAAGATGCATCTCTGCTGTCTTTACATTTAGTTTAATTGGACTTAAATGTTTGGTAGAGCAATCATTGAATTAGGTGGATTTATCTTGCAGGATGGAGGCTGTGGCCTCCCATTAACACTTCCTGGTATGGTGTAGACCCAGTCACCTGGCAGGTGAGCCAATGAACACTTGAGCAGGCCCATAGCCAAATCGTGGCTGCATCCAGCCCTGACTTGAACATAAGACAAGCCCAAACATATTGCATGAGGATGCAGAGGAGCCCTGTTGCTCAGTGAAGATGTGTGGGTAGGTATCAAGGACCTCAAGTCTATCCAAGTAGTCCCAATGTGAATATGATTCACACTGTGAAATTTCTTCCTTTCGGCCAGCCCGTCTTCATGAATGTCCTCTTGTATGTCTTTACTTTGGCAAAAGTGCTTCTGTATCAGAGAGGTCAAACACTGGAACAGGCTTCCTAGAGAGGTGGTCGATGCCCCAAGCCTGTCAGTGTTTAAGAGGCATTTGGACAATGCCCTTAACAACATGCTTTAACTTGATCAGCTCTGAATTGGTCAGGCGGTTGGACTAGATGATCGTTGTAGGTCCCTTCCAACTGAAATAGTCTAGTCTAGTCTATTCTAGGTGTTCCAGTGTTAAGTATTCTTGATTCCCTTTTGCTAACAGGCAACTCTCGTGGTCCTCTTGAGAATCGCTTCTGGTTTCCTGAATAACTCCCTGTCTCAGCTGCTGAGGCACATGCCACTATTCCTCTTTCTTAGTTTTCAAAGACCCCACTCCTCCTTTAGGGTTTATGCCTAAATCCTTTCTCCCCTTACTACTTTTTATGCTCAGGCTTCACTCAGTCTTATTGCTTACTTAGTCAATTATTTTCCTATCTTTAGATTTAAGCCAATACAACTTTTAAAAAAATGTAATGCTGAGAATGAAAGTTTCTCAATGACCAACTTTACAAATTTCAGTCAGCTGAACAGCTGACTAAATGGAATTTCCTGAAACCTTAGAAAGTTGCCTAGATACTTGTAAACTGTTACAGTCTTTAGTCATTCAATTACAGGACAAATATTTTTACATGAGAATTGCATAACAGATACTTAGCATAATATAAAAATTCAATACCAGAAAATTAAGTCTTAAGTGATAAGAAAAGTGACTGTAGGACATGGACCAAAGTTGTACCTTAGAATTAGCTAGGCCTTTTAAAACAAAATGGTGAAGTAAAAGAAGTGTTTTGGAAAAGTTATCAGCCTCAATCTAAATTCCAGATGGTTTTACAGTGTGAGGAAGAAATCCAGAAAGAGAACACTAGCCTCTTCAAGTCTTTTCATCACCTCTTAAGTCACCTCTGAACTCTGTTCTAAAGATGACTGAGTTTGTACAGGAGACAGACTAATCCTTTAGAAGCATATTATCCTTTTTGGTCCACAAGCTGCACATAGCTGTACTTCAAGCTTTGCTCTATTTAATTAACCTACTAATAATGGGACATTCTCCTCAGTATTTGGGTCTTGTGTGAAAAATCTGTTTTACTGAGAAAGGTGGGAAGACCTAGACAGAAGAATCTCACAACAAGACAAAGTTGTCACAGGACGGGAAGAAAATTGTTCAATTTTTGTAAGCTACGGGTATTGGCTTTATTGTGCATTAGTTCTCTTCTTGCTTTTTTGGGGAAGCTGTTGTTTCTATCTCTTTGCCTTGCGCCAAGCATTCACTCTGATTTATTAGAGAGAGTTTCCTTTGGCTGCTGATGTCAGGGAGCAGCAAGAATGAGGCTGTTCCACAAGGAAAGAGGAGCCAGGAACTGAGGGTGACCACAGCACAGGCAGGACAGTGCCCTCACCAACCAGGGCACAGTCCCACAGCACCTGAACAGGACCACAGTGGTGACAGCAGCAGGTTTCACTGGCAGCCCCAGAGAGAGCAAGACAATGAGTCAGATGCAGGGTTCATCCAGAAAGTCTATTTGGGAACAGCAGAAGATGGTGCTACCTATAACACATGCTTGAATTCCATCCTGGAGACAAGGCTACCTACAACCTAAGTCCAGAGTCCGCCTGTGAAGCCCAGTCAGTAAGTCACTACAGGAGGGGACAGGGCATGCTACAACAGAGCTCAAAGACACAGCTGGAGATCATCCCTGAGCTTAATTGGAGCTCTTGAACCGGGGACCAGAGAGTGCATGAGTAGGTACCCCAAGGGAGGCTTGGAGGGGAACTAAGGGGGGTCCTAACAGCTGGAAGGAATAGTCTTAAGACTCAAGCTCTCCATCTCCCCAGTGAAAATTATTCAGTGGTTGGGATTGCTGGAGGACACTACTGTTGTTAGGTAATCCAATCCTGTGGAATTTCAACAGGACTTGAGCATCTAATTCACTCAGTCCAGGTTTCCTTCAGAAGCCTTTCAGTAGATAAGAAAATCAATTGTCTGCAACAATGGTGTATGTTCTTTTACATAGGTAGAACAAGCATTTACTCCTTGCAAATTACAGTGAAACATCCAGAAACATCTGATGTACATTGAGTATCTGCAGATATCCTTGTAGCTACTGCAGTTAGAATAGATTGCGTCAAGTTGATCACGGAATTTGAAGGAGAAGACGTTCAAATTTCACTAACATATAGAAAAAAGGGGTATTATATGACCTTGATTGAAAAAATAGGTTCATATAATAATGTTTGAGGGAGAAGGGTTATCTAAGCACTGTGTGATAATGTTGATGTTGGCAACTCCCTTTGTTAATTTTTTTCAAACAGTTTATACAAAATAGGAACTTTTGCACTGTATTAACCAGAGACAGGCATGACTGCCCTGGAGATGAACTGCGAAATCCCTACCACACATTTCCTTCAATGTTGCAAATCAAGACAGTGTCAGGATATTGCCAAATCAGAGCAAAACACTTTGCATTAAAGAGCATTTTATCACAGACACACAGAACTGGTTTCATGCATGCTTTGCTCTCTGAGGATTGTACAAAACTGTTTGCTGTGGTATTTTAAATAATACAAAATAAAATCACATTTCAATAGATCTGAACTTAATCCTAAATACAATACCAAATCTTTAAACCAAGCAGTTCTGTAATGTTTAGACAATAATGCTACAGCATTTAGACAGTAATTAAATTAGACAAACAATGAAAGTTCCCCTATATGCTAGAGTAGTTTTCATTGCACAGTATTCTCAAAACCCTGTGGTTTCCTATGCCCAAAACACATTTACACACGCTCCCTTCCCCCCATTTTTGTTTGCAAATCTAGCTACTTTTTTCAAGTACTTTACTGTTCAAGTAGGAGACTTTAAAAAGTGGAACTTTACATACCTGTTATAAAGTAATTTTGAGCCATGAATGTCATAACCCAGATGAAAAACACTGCTGAGGTAACTCCAAAATAAGTTGCCATTGCCACCAACTTGGAAAATTAAGAAATTCAAGGTGATTTGTCTCCTGTGCTAAGAAAAGTTAAGGTATTGGATACTATCAGACCACTTTTGAGATGACTTCTTGAAAGCAACTTCAGCTGTCACTGCACTGCTTCATAGAAAGAACGTTAGAGCAAATGTGTTGACTGTCCCACTCAAAGGTGAGGTCACTGACTGGAAATCCCTAATCACCTTTTACACTTTCTTTCATGTAGGACTTGTTGGAAAATTTAACTACTGCTGACTCAGAAAACACAGCTGAGGAAGGGAGATAAGACTGTTAGACTGCTAAGTCAGTAAACACTTTGAAAGAAGTTTTTCTTTTGCTATTTTTTCCTGTTTTACTGATTAACAGCTCATTACTCATGTTGTCTATTCATCTGGTAAATAAAATGAATTCTCTATTGTATCACAGCACGCCAGGCAGGATTTTTCTTTTGGAATTGGAAGGGCATCCATTCCCCACTATCCTATTTGTCTTGATGTAGTACTTTTACCTTCCTTTGCTTTAGAGTTCCAATGCAAAAATAGGTACCATAACACAGAGATAATATGATACCCAGTTTTGAACAGATTTGGAGATACACTACTGTAAATGGGATTCCTTGTGAGGCTGTAGGGACAGAGGTGGGAGCCAGTCCCTTCACTGCTGTCTTTTGTGAAGTTCCAACAAACAGTGATTCCAATAGACTGATTCAAAACACAGATGATCCTCACGGCTACAACTTAGCAAACCTTCAGGAAGTCTTAGCAAGGAAACGATTTTTGCAGAGATTCCAACAAACATAGAGCAGGAATGGAGTTCAAGAGATCAGCTAGTTCCCTTTACTGTCACTAGGATCAGCTGTACTTATGTTATTCCTGACAGATGTTTGTCTAACCTGTTCTTAAAGACTTCCAGTGACAAATTCGTAACATTTCTTCAAACGCTCTATTCCAGTGCTTCACTGCCCTTTACTGTTAAAAGCTATTCCCCAGTCTAAACTGACTTACCCATACCATGGTGTAAACATACCACTTCTTTTTCTGTTGGAAATGGACATGGAAAATAGTTTATTCCCTTATGTTTTGCATCAATCTTACGTATTTAAAGAGTTATGCCTCTGTTCCCACTTCTCTTTCATCTAAGAAACCCCAGCTTTCTCACTCTTTCTCTCTAGCTGAGGCCTTGCCAATGCCAAGTACTGATTAATAAGTTATTTTACCTGCTTATACAGTTCAGAATTGTATGAGCCCTTTTTTGCAACAGGATGATTTTGTTACATCATGTTCAGTTTGTGATTCAGTAAACTTTTAGATGTCCTACATCCCCAGGCTGTTTTCAAGGTCCTGTAAACACAGTGTAACAGTAGCTACCTCTTTAAACTGTGGTTCGCATTGTAGAAAGTTTCCACTTAATAAATTAAGATAGTATTAACTTTTATCTGATCACAGGCCAAATCTCTTACAGCAGCATGTAACATGGTTATGGGTGTACTATAACATAGACAGGCATGTACAGGGCTGAGTGGAGGATGCTGTGGGTTAATGAAATGATGTCTTCATTAGCAATAAAGAAATGAAAATTGGGTTGTGTTTGGGCTATGGTTTGGAACTGAATGTTGAGATCTTAAGACAAATTTCTTGCTCCAGTTTCTATTTACTCCTTTATTGTGTTGTACTTACCTGCCTCTACAAAGTGATGGTAATCTGAAATACTGTAATCAGACTTACTCTCACTGAAGCAAGTTCTAAGTAGATTCACTGGCATTTACAATGTAGGAGCGGAAACTAATAGTTATTGTGTAGCTCTCATGGACTAGTAGACTGTGGCCGTAAAACACCCTGATCATTAAACAAAATCTTACCATGCTTACCTTGAACTGCTAAGTATTTCCTACCACGAAAACTAATCAAAAGCTGGGTTTCTGACATTTAAAAATTGCATGCTAATTGTCCCTCTAAGTGTTAACACTTTGTGCCTATTATCCTCACTGTGGCAAAGTTCCTTTAGTCAAACTCTGTCCATGCTATTGATGCTTAGTAGGATTTTTAGCTGGAAAAATGAGATAAAACACCTTTGTAACACCAAACAAAGAAAACCCCCCAAAATAAGCTCCTTCATATGGTTTTGTAAGAACAAACTACAGATTAGGAGAGGGAGAAAAGAATTTTAGAATGATGAAGTGAAACTGAAATGTCAGTTTCTTCCTTTTTATATTTCAGCTGTTCCAAAACTGTGTGGAAGATCACTTACCTGGACTGTAACAGTATAAAAGGTCTTTAACCTGTTTGTGGGTCTTTATCTTAACTTGTGTGGTGAAAAAAAAGCAGCCTTATATTGAACGTTTAATTAGCATTTGACCTAAATACTTATAGTAAACTGTAAGGAAAATTCCCAGCATCTCATGCCAGCATGTTTTAAAATGCTGATGAGGATTGCTAAACAGAAAAGTTTTGATATGGGAAAGCAGACTTAACTGTTCTCTACAATCATTTCTAAAGGAACCTTGAAGCCTGAACAACAGGAGAGGAAACAAGTTAAAAAAAAAAAGTTTGTGTGGAAAATACAAATATCAGGGTCTTTTCCTCGTAACAGTCATTCCTTTCAAAATTGTCACTGCCCCAAAGTTTTTCTCCCTGACACAGACCATCAGAGATTCAGAAGTGACATTTCTGTTCTTTGTGGAAATTGAGCATTGTCTCCTTCCCGCTGGTCTGGCAGTTCAGCTCTCCACAAAGCCCAGGCTCCCCAGACCTCCCAAGCCTACAAGAACACAGAGCAAATAAAGAATCCTAACCTTTCACTCAGCCTCCTTTGGTTACAAATCTCCCTTGTGTCTTTCCGTGTTCAACCTCCTCAGTGACAGGCAGCCCCCCTCTGAAGCAGGAGTTAAACTCTCTCCAGGATATTTCAGTTTCCTCTCTCATCTTGTTTCTAGGGTATGACAGGGATGACCCTGCTTACAAACACTTTCTCTATTGAAACAGGAGTTTGCTTGCTTCTTCTACATCATTTTCCTGAACAACTGAAAGACTAAGAACAAGATCTTTGGTTATGTGTAACGTGGCACTACATTACACAGTATAGATGAGGCAGTATGTATTTCATAAGAACATAGCCATTAATATGCAGACAGAGCGCATGTAAAAAACAAACCTTTAAGGTAGCAACATTGAGGACTTTGAGACCATACTTTTATTTCAAAACTCAAGTATGTGATACTATACAGTACAATACCAGCACACTTGTGCAAAATCTTACAATATTACAAATTTAAATATGATACACAAAAATAGTGCCCTTTTAAAATTCCTTTTACTAGAAACATCTGTGCTGTGCAGGAAAAACAATAAACGTGTCTTGTTAAAGCAGAAAAATAAATATTGCACCTCAAGAAAACTATTTCAGTGTTAATAGCATAAATAATAGATCTATTTCTTCTTATCTGATGTGATCTCTGAACACAGAAGAGGTTGGGGTTTTTTTTCCAGATAAAGCAAACTAATATCCAACAGATAAAATTACATTTTGAAAAGGTTTTTAGCTCAATCTAATTTCCTATTTTAAAGCAGAAAAATAAATATTGCACCTCAAGAAAACTATTTCAGTGTTAATAGCATAAATAATAGATCTATTTCTTCTTATCTGATGTGATCTCTGAACACAGAAGAGGTTGGGGTTTTTTTTCCAGATAAAGCAAACTAATATCCAACAGATAAAATTACATTTTGAAAAGGTTTTTAGCTCAATCTAATTTCCTATTAAAAAAAAGGTGTCTTCATTAACTAACTGAAAAATATAAGCAAAAATATTTAATGTGCTGTTAGTCATTGTGGTTCATTATTTTTAGTGGACAGTTTGCTCAAAGTAGTTATAAAAAGAACATTTTTTTTAAAAATAAACTTTATCTTCATCTTTTCATCCCCATTAAAATCTCTTGCCTCTTTCAGTCCATTCCCCACAACAACTAATAACTTTGTGGCTAAATTATGTTTGCCTTAGACATGCAAGTAGTTCAGTTCAAATCAGTACAACTACTTATTGAAATTCGCCCTTGTGCATTAAGTCCACAAAAAGCCAGTGTGCTGAATTTCAAGAGAGGATAGAGACCTTGTTCACCTACTGACCAAAAAAAACTTAGCACATGCTTATGTTAAGCAGTTCAACAGTCCTATTGATATCAATAACTTTCTACATGTACATAAAATAAGGTGTTGGACCCATATCAGTGCAGATATAAATAAGAGCGAATTAATTTGATTATAGGCATTGCTTATTATTTTTCCTCAGGGCAGTCCAACATTTCCACAATCACATAATCAAATATGTGCCATCATTTTTGGCATAGAGGATTCTGAATCTTCAGGACTATTTACCTTCAATTTTTATTGCCTTATTAAGTTATCAATGCTATTTGTAAAGAATATTAAGTTAAAGAAGCTGATTTTAATAAAGTATTCAAAGAGCAACTGACAAGTTTCTTCAAATACTGAAAGTACGTGAAATGTCACAGTTCTTCATAGTCAGATATTCTAACTGAACCAAGCAGATACCAAGTAATTTGCAAGAAACCCTCTTCTGTCTTATTCTTTACCAATTACAATTTTAGACCAAATGACACTTTCCCATTATCCTTTTGAACTTCCTTAAGCACATTATGCCTCAACAATTGCTTTTTTTTTTAATTTATTTTTTTATTTTTCTTTTCTTTCTCCATATAAATGTCTCTTAAGAAACGTGTGGCTAAAGATGTAACAAACAAAATTCACCAGCAGGATGTTAATAGTGCCAGATATGTGAATTAAATTTCTGACTGAGTTAGAAATTTGTTTTCTTTGATAGTTAGCTTGAGGTTCAGTGTTTACACCAAAAGAAAACAACTACTAACTGCATCTGAACTGAAATTACAGTACTTCATAACATACTTGTCCTTCAGTTGGTAAACAGACCTGTTAATCAGTCAGTAAACGCCAGAAGAATGCAAGACATGAGTGCAATCACGTGTCACACTGATTTTGATATTGTGGTTAGATTCAAGCACATAGCTATGGAAAGACAAACAGTTCATCTTCAATCAGAAGTGATGTTCAGCAGGTACATATGGTATACCTTAAGTGACATGCATTTTGGTCTCAGCCTTAGGTGGTGTGGTTTTTACAGATAATGGCTTCACCATTTTGAAATTGCTTGTCTAAAAATTTCAGGCTTTCACATTCTTGCGTAAGAACTCACAACTCCTAAATAGGAAGAACTGTTAAAAAATCTGGGCAAAGGATTATCATGACCTGATAGTTTAGCTTTGAAAGCATATTGGAACAGTTATATACTTGGCATCAGATTCTGAAAATGAACTACTAAAAACATGCAGTGACCTCTTCAAAGTCCTCACTGCTTTCATGTCCTGATTCAGCGAGGCACTAGTAGGGTTTTGGCTGTATGCAGAACTGTGTTCCTAGTGCAGATCTCAAAGGATATCTATTTCCAGTATTAGCAGTAGGGCAGAGTCCACTTAGTGTGATCACCTGTATACACAGGTTTGAAGACTTTTTTTTTTTTTTTTTTTTTTTTAATAAAGAATTGAAGATTGCTTCCCACATCCAAGACTGCTGTATTTTGGGCTTGGGCAACACATCTAATCTTCCAGACATCAACTACTTTTTTCTGTAACCTGTAGTGACTCTGAATGGCATACACAAATCTGTTGCAAAGCATGTCCCTTTGATGTATCAGAAGTTCCCAGATTTATTTGACGATACCAACTGTGCCACCTAGACCTCATTTTAGGTTTTGTTGTGTATAATATTTAAAAAAAAAGTGGTGGTCCCATTCTTAAAGTATACCGTAAACCACATTTATGCATGTACTTAGTATTCCATTTAAATAATCATACAGATAATTCCTCTTATAAAATTACTTTATCAGCAAGGCATTTGGTCTGATAATATAATTCTAACTTTCCATAGAAGAGCTTCTATTTCTATCCAATAATCATGAATAAGGAAATGAATTAGACTCTTAAAACCCAAAGGACTTAAATGCCATTAGTACTTAACAATCACCAAGAAATTCAGGAAATGCAAAGTAAAGCACTAACTGCAAATGCAGGTTTTACAATTTTCTTCAAAATCATAGCAGAGATGTCAAATGTCCTGTGCAAATCATTCTTTTAAATGTCTTGCTGGTTGCTGGTTACTGCCACAACCTTATCCCGATTCAATATACTTTTATTTGTATCTGTCATTTACAATAAAAGGACAGACAGGATTATTTATCAGATTGCCATTTTGGCAAGGTATGTTCACAACCTGATGGTGTGGAGTAACTCACTTGTCTAACAGATCACATTTAACAACCGTAAGGATGACTAAGCACTACCTTTAACAACTGTGTTCTAATATGTGTACTTGCTCAGGTACCATAAATACATGGTTGTTCCTTTATTATTCAGTGTGTTGCTCGTGTTGAAATCCTGAGTTCCACCAGGAATATTGATGGGCAGCAGAACAGCTGGCCTTCCCTTCAGGTCCCTCTGATTTTTCATCACAGGAGTTGTATGAATGGTAGATTCCCAACACCACAGCAAAAATGATTATCGCAGCCACTACAAGCCATACCACGTTCCAGTGTTTACACAGTTTGGGGTACAGTATATGTAAATAATTAATGATGACTTCAAGTCTGCTGTAAAATTAAAAGAAAACTGTTATACATTAATCATATGCAAATTTATTATCTTAAGCTTTTCAATTTGAGAAGTTTCACAGATGTATGGTGCACCATCTTTCTTCCAAATACAAACACCCTGCCAAAGAAGAATCAGACTGTTAAGTTCTTTTAAGAAGAGCTGTACACTCAGATATGGGTGATATTTGCAAGACAGCTGAAGACCTTAAACTTGACTTCTATGTCTCCCACCTGCCAACTGGCAAATCTCAGAACTTGGTATGATGTAAAATTCTGCACTGTTCATAGCTTGCTCAACTAAATTAAACATTAGAACACGTTGTAAACATTTCTTCCTAAGAGTTTCACGACTAGTGAGATGGCTGTCCTTCTGAACATGGCTGAAATCTCAAATTAACAGATGTTTATAACCATAATGGTTATGGAATGAAAATGAATTCTTCTGGATCACGTAAGGATTCCTACCTTAGCTTGCGATGGGACATATTACTTGCTTTGGCCAGCATTTAATTCCTCTCTAATGCAAAAGTCTCTTTGCTTTTAAAATGCAGGAAATTGCAGGTATATTGAATTGCGTGGTAGAACCACCGAGGAGACTCAATAATTAACTCTAAGAAAAGTTGAAAATTTCAGAAAAATCTTCCAGTTAGGCATTAAATGCTTCAGGTAAGACACCAAGCTGAGGATTCAAAAGTCCCCAGTACAGACAAAGAGCACTGGGTACAGATGAATGCAAGAAACGTCAATCTGCTAAAAGGCAGGAACTCCAGCACAGTGCTGTTCTGCTGCATCTACACAGCTTCCAGAGAGGGCAGGCACCTGCCTGTCCAAGTCAGAGCAAGTCCAACATTGCTGAGGAGCTTGTCTTAATCTGCATTCACTTTGTAGATGTACTGAAGGCTCACCTGTGAAGACCCTTTGGGAATGACATATGGCACAAATATGGGCATCAGATTCCTGAATTACAACTTTCATGAGACAGTGCATGCCTACTGAGCAATACATTCTGGCACCTGAACAACTTTTGTGGAATATTTTTTACCTCAAATCAAAACCAAACCTCATCAAGATGAAGCATCTTGATGTCAACGTACAATTTTAGTTGAAATATCAAAATAAGAAGTTTTGCATTTTGCAACTATGTTATCTTGGAATATGCCATTCTGTGAAAATACTGTTATTTCAAATATGTTTCCCTAGACTGGAAGAAAACACGTGAAGATAATAGCATAAAACACTTGGTTGGGTACCACAAATAGAAAAAAGTGTCTATTCTTGTACGGACATATTATACCACTCTCTCACCTGCTTTTCAGGTTTTTTATCTCATCTTCATTTTCACTTTCTTCGTGTTCATCATGACTTTCTTTTGGTGTCTCTTCATCTTCTTCCTTCAGTTCTTGAAGTTCTTTGGTTTTCTTCAAGCCTTCCTGATAGCTTTAACATACAAAACATTTTTCTTAGTCTAGCACACTGTATAAGCCTGTTCCTATGTAATGAAAAATTAGCTTTATGTTTTGTTTCATGCAATAAAACACAAGTAGTAGTGCTGCAGCACTCAGAGAAGAGTAAAAACTAGCTAAAGACCATGAGTATGGCACACAGACAGCCACCCTTCCTTAACAGAGGATTATATTAGCTCTGTTACCACATTTATCATCTTGAAAAAGAAAAAGAGGTTATAGTCCTCAGCAGAGCAGAACTTTTGTCTGTTGTAAAGGAGTTGGTAAGTAAATCTCTATTATTTTTCAATCATTTCCAATACCCTTTAGATATTTTATTTTCCTGGAGAATAAGTGCAAATCAATGCTAAAGATAGATGGCTTGTTGGATTCTGCAGGAGAGGATCAAAATTTTTGTCTCACTCTTCACAAAGTACAAAGTTCTTTGCTTGACATTCAGAAGCAGATCCCAAAGCTGTTAATTGCCCCAAAACATGCTGTGTAAAGCACTTTGTGATACAAACAACATGAGTTTACTGCAAAAGTTGATACCTGCTCTTTACTCATTTCCGTGTACACTTTTCAGAATAAACATTTTAGAAAGTTGTTTTGGATTATCCTATCATGAAGCTGTACACTATTGACATAAGAACACTCAGTCAGCTCAGACTCTCTGATATAACTGCTTTCCCACAGTTTGGCTAACATTAATAAAGGATGAAAGTGAACAGTTACGATGCAAATACAATGAGTGAAGCTCACTCACATTGTTTCCCACATTGCTTCAATTATGACCATCTTCTAGGAGCTCATATTGATTATGTCACTCATTTTGCATTTAAAATTACATTATAAAAACATATGTCCTCATCTGGTAGCACATATTTACAGATTTAGTTCACATAAAATATTCCCACCCTTTGTTATATGCTTCCTCTTCTATCTTGGCTTTAGTTTCAGGATTGATTTCTTCCAACCCACTCTGTGTCAGCACAGAAGTAGAGGTTTCACAGTCAGGCTCTCCATTAGTCTTACCACTGCCAAGACAAAAGAAACAGACAAACAGAAAATAACACCACTGAAACATATTGTATTTGGAGTATACCACTGAACAAGAACAATCACATGGAATTTTGTGACTCCTGATTTTTCTTCTTTAATGTACATCGGAGAAATGAAATGTCTTTCAAAAGAAAAAAATTAAACACTAAGCAAAATTTTAGTTCCAAAATGTTGTAATTTAAGAACAGTAATTAATATGTTTCTAATGTATTAAAAGTTGCATTTTGTTTCTTCTTCTTTAAAAAAAGAAAAGAAAAGAGCATTTGTTTCCTGGCTTATCCATGGCATTTATTTGCTAGTCTTTAAAATATTTCCCTCAACTTTCTAAAAACAATCTTAGAAATTGTGACCTGCTACATCAGAGGAAAATAAAAGAAATAATACCACATATCAATTTAACAAAACATTTTTCTTAGAATGTGCAACATTTCCTGAAAGAGAGAAGTGTTTGGAAAGGTGCCTGACAAATTTTTATTTTGGCTTTCTAGGCTGATTATACATATGAATAAAGTATATACACACACAGGTTTGCAAATGCAACAGTACCTGTATCCGTAATAGTAACTGTTTACAAAGACCTTGTAGAACAGCTTGAGTATGCCTTCTGTTCTCATCCCAGTCTCACATGTTTTCATATTGCCTATCTTTGTATTCTATTACTGCAGAAGCTTTACATTTCAAGAACTTGTATAAAATTAAATTACATGTCTACATGAATTTCAACTGGAAGAACTTAAAATTTCTTTCCAGAAATGTGTAGATGCACATGCTTTCCAGCAGAGCAATTCTTTGCTTTCCTTGTCCATATAAGTATTATTTTGCTCCAAAAGTAGTACTATTGAAACCCATGGAATGACTCATGGAACTATTATGGAAAATGGATAACAGCAGCATACCTTAATCCAGCCAGGACATCTACACTAATGGTAAGTAATACAGAGTCAAAAGGGCAAATGTTTTAATGAAAAATATTCTTGCAATTTATAGGTACTAGAAAAATATAGATATCGAGGTATTTGCTTGTTACCAGGCTGAAAAAAAAACCCTCCTCTTCTGTATCTCTATTTTTTAATTTTAAAATGCCAACTTCTCTGGCTGTTATAACTAAAATCTCAGGTTGTTAAAACTAAAATCTCACACATAATGCTTTAATTTAGCTGAATGTTCAATTCATTTTATACTAAAAAAAGAATTACTAGTCAATTTAATCAGTTTTGACTTCTGTAAAATTTTGATGATCTATTATTATGATAAATTACACTTTTGAATTTCATATACTTACGTTTATTCATATAAATCTAAAAACCTACATGACACTGGATATCATAGTATTTCAAAATATGATTCTTACCAGCTGGCCACATGTTGAAAAGGCAAGGGCACAACACAAACTTCTATTACTGGGATAGTAAAGTTAAGGAATATTCATACCCAGGGTTGCTCATGGCCAACTTTAGATACGGCATTCATTTGTTCCAGGAAATAATTATTAAAAAAAAAAAAGCCACATGCATTGTATGCAATACTCTTAGTTTTGTTAAGTTCTGAAGGCAGGCCTACTAAAATGTGTAAATGCATAATCTTCTGCTGCAGTTTTACTTGATGAGTTCTAATGATCATAGCAGGCTTGATTTAGTTCTGAGACACTGCTTGTAAACTCTTTGAACATGAAAAGAACAGTATGATGGTGACAGTAAAATACAGTTACCAGATCATGAATCAACTGTCGTGGTTTAATCTCAGTCGGCAACTGAGCACCACGCAGCCGCTCGCTCACTCCCCCCACCCGGTGGGATGGGGGAGAGAATTGGAAGAGCACAAGTAAGAAAAAACTCGTGGGTTGAGATAAAAACAATTTAATAATTGAAATAAAATGATAATAATAATAATATGATAATAATACACAAAGCAAGTGATGCACAGTACAATTGCTCACCACCCGCCGACCGATGCCCAGCCAGTCCCCGAGCAGCGGCCCGCCCGGCCAGCTTTCCCCAGTTTATGTACTGAGCATGACGTCACATGGTATGGAATGTCCCTTTGGCCAGTTTGGCTGTGCCCCCTCCCAGCTTCTTGTGCACCTCCAGCCTTCTCAGTCAGTAGAGCATGGGAAGCTGAAAAGTCCTTGGCTAGTGTAAGCACTGCTTAGCAACAACTAAAACATCGGTGAGTTATCAACTTTGTTCTCATCCTAAATCCAAAACACTGTACCAGCTACTAGAAAGGAAATTAATTCTATCCCTGCCGAAACCAGGACATCAACCTAAGCCAATATTGTGTCACTGATTTCAATACCTTATGCCTGGTATAACTTCTGTTAGGAAAGATAGAAATTATATCATTTTCATTTCATACTAGGTTTTAATAGGTAATGAGATGACCTAGAGAAAACTCACTTTTCTAAAAGTGCTGGCAGAACAGGAGTAGATGTTAGATTGCTCCTTCCATTACTAGGTGATTCAGACTGTAAGTGAAAAACAGCAATAAATGTTAAATCCATGAATTAATTTCAAATGAGTCTTCAGTAAAAGGATGAAGTCAATGTGCTGCTTAGGTTTTCTTCCCACACCCATGAGCAAGGTATCTTTAATACGGAGCTTCCAAATTGCTCCCACTAACCAGAGTAAACAATGGACTCGCACACTAAGAAGAACTTTCTGCAACATTCCCTTCTACCCTGCTTATTTTTTCCAAAAGTCTTTCTTCTTCAGATATTGATCACTGAACAGTAAAATTACTCTATTGCTTCTCTCCATATTATCCTAGGAACATTAATTTGTTAGCTAAGTTCTCAATGGAAAATTTTAAACAAAAATAAATCATAATAAATCATGGTAAATAAACACACTTGGTTTTTGAAACAATTGACTCCGAGTACATAATAACTAAATCGCACCAGATTGTTTTCTTAAAACTAAAATGGATTTAGCTTCTCAGCAACACCCCTCATTTAAATAGCCCTACATTTTTAACAGAAAACTGCATAGTTTTCAGGTTATGTGCCATCTTAGCTCATCTCTGAACAGCTGGTATGCCTCGCAGTTTTCTCCAAAACATTTATATAGATTTATTAGGTTCAGATTAGATTCTAATTTAATTTATTAGACTTTTATAAACAAAAAGTCAAGGCAAAGGCTGATAGCTCCGCTAATCCCAGATCATCACAGAACTTCTAAATTTGGACCACATACATTTCTGTACGTTAATTACATGCTTTTCTGTTTAGTGGACTTCTTGGCAATGAAGAGAAGCAGTCCGATCATCTTTTATGGATTCTAGTTAAAACTTCTTTCCTACAGTGGACAACTATTTTTATTACTTCTTTGCAGTATGTTACTACAGATTAAAAGGCAAATTGCCTCAACTAATGTCTAATGCTTCTGAATCACCAACTAGCCCTGTTCAGCTCTGTGCCCAAAGTGATCATTTATGGAGGTAGATTCTGAAGGCATATGTCCCTTACACAACAGGAATTACCTTTGTCCATCCTCTTCACTAGGATGGAGTCAAAATAAATTAAACCAATGACAGGGCTTACATTTTTTAGTAACTATGGCTTGGCCCTATGCAAAAGTGGTTTAGACAAAAGGTAGTATCTTTAAACTGTGGGGTTTACTTACCAGGGATGGCATTGAAGGTATAGGTGAAGCTGTTGGTGACTGACCAGGAACATTTAAGGAGTTAAATTTAGGAACAACAGCCACACTGACTCTCCTCCGAGGCATATTCTGTGACAAACAACATTTTTTTTTTCTATCATACAACAAGATAGGCTGAAGAATAATTCTACAAGTTAATGGTAGGTGTGGCAAAGATGTAGGTTAATGTCCCTTGGGGGAAAGGAGAGTTGGGAGCAAAATTAAGATAAACGGCTGTTAGGGCTGTGGTTTTCCCCAAAACTTCCTCTAGTACTGTCTGGTATGGCAAGTGCTTAGTGTGAAATGAGGTGTTGTACAGGGATGCTACTCTTTTCCCTCCACACTGAAAGCCCGATAGTGTAAGTCACACAACAGATATGTTCTGAGCTGTTATTGTCAGTTCTTATTAGAGGTTATTATCTTTGGTTAAACCAGATGTATAATGATAGTGGGAAAAGTACCAGTGCCAGTCACAATGACTGGAAAAAAATGAAGTTACACACGAAACTCTTCTCTTGCTATGTACCCATTATGATATACTGTACCCACTATGACATATTAATTATTTCTAAACGGACAAATTATAACTTACAGAAACAATAACAGCCATTCCCTCTGCAAAAGAACAGAGCCTTCTCCCCGACCCTTAAGTTGTTAGATATCTATCTAGCATCATGCGACACTGCTTACATTTCCCAAAGACCATGGAAATTCTTTATATGATAAACACATGCTAGCTTTACACAATATATTCTAGCTCAAGTATAGATCATGTAAGTTTTTGCTGTCATCAGGTAAGCAGCCAAATACTTCATCCTATGATATACACCTAGGGAAATCTACGCTTCGCACTGAGTAAAAAATCCAAGCACATACAGCTTCTAACAGCTTCATTTTAGTGCATATCCAAACACTTCTAAGATTCTGCTCTAGATAACTTTACAGGAAATGAGTTAAACACAGATTTACTAAATATATAGAAGGAGTCACCTACTCCATGATCCTAATTCTAGACAAAACCAACTATACCTATTCATTAATGACAGAAGTTTATCTAATGTGCTCCTGAAAAACTATACTGGAGAGTCTGCAGCCATGTTAAGCAGTCCATTCTAATGTTTTGGGTTCCCCCCCCCCCCCTTTTTTTTTGGGGGGATTAACTTGTCCTTGAACTTGTCCTATTTCATCTTTTTTGGGGACCTCTGTTTCAACTTATCTGGTTCTCATTTTGAAATCCAGTCTTGCCCTCAGCATGCTCTGTGCTCTAAATCTTTTTATTCAGCACTCAGAGGTGGCAGGAATAAACTAAACCTAAAGAACTACAACCCAAGCAAATAAAAATACGAAAAGAAATAGTAGACTTAATGTAATGCCTCTGATCACCAAATTTGATAATGGTCACATTGGGACTTGGGTCTCTCAAATCACTGGTTGTTTTAGGAATTTTTATAATAAACTTGATCTCCAACACTTGGAAGTTTTGCAGGAATGGAACACTGGCCATGTTAAAGTTATTAATTGGTCAAGCCAAAACAATCTGAGATAATCTCTCACTCCGAATGCTTTGTCAAACCAAACAAGATATTCTGATGCTAACTGAAAAATGAGCCCTGCTTAAAAATAACTGTTTACATCTAAGGTACTCTGAACGTGATATAATTCTTAAGAAATCAAAATGGTATGATCATTGAATCCCTAATCATATAGCAAGTTTTGATCCAATGTTCAGCTTTCTCACTGAGGAACTAGAATAAAGCACTGGACATAAGCCACTCTCTGGAGCACAGGTATGCAGCCTGGAATACAATTATTCTTAAATAAATAGGTCCCTTTATTATTTATAGCTTCACAGCAAGCATTATCATTATTGCACAGAGTCATTCTTAATCATGTATCTAAAATTACAAAGCATTTGCACTAAATTACATGAACAATACTGAGAATTTACCAGCACTATGTTTTGAACACAGCCTATAAAATTGTATGTAGACAAAGAAATTTCACTACATAAAACGTTCACTTCATTTTCTTTATATTGTAGAAATACCTTTCCAACAGTAAGAGACATGGATCTAGATGAACGAGGTACTCCATCTTCTGCATAAAAACAGTAAATAAAGAACAGTCTTAGACTATATGAGTATCTATAAATAATATTAGTAAAGCCCTTGCTCGTATTTCAAACTCAGATATAGTATATTTATATAAGGAACATAGTGACTGCATATTTATCTGTCATACAGTTCTGGTCTCAATTACACCTGCAGAAGAAATCTGAAATAATTGCAAAAAATTGTACCAGTACTATCTCTACTGAGATCAGGCAAAAGCCCACTATTTGCCTCCATGGACAAGTTTTTGCAAAAGAAAATACTCATATTTCAGTTTCCAGCAAACTAGGAAAGAAAAGGTTGCAAAAAGAAAAAAATAATTTTTTAATAATGAAATTTTGCCATCATCTGTCCTCTAAGGGGTAGTTGCGTTAAAACTGTGCAAGCTATGCATATGTGCAAGAGGCCAATGAAAATGTCATTGGATCTCATCAGAATTTGGTAAGTGATAGTGATTTTAAATTGCTGTACTATAGCATTAAGTATGGCTTATATGAAATATTTCAACTTTTATAAATATAACTTTTTGGGGAATCTACTTGTAGACCAGAACTTCATGAACAGGTTTCACAATACTTCACTTTTTATCATTAATAGCACACTTCTCTGTATAGAGAGGCAAGACAAACCCTTAATTTTTTTTTTTTTTTTTTTACCAGATGAACTGTAGCTTCTGCTAGAATTCTGATTGGCAAGTTTCTTGAACTCCATTAGTTCAGCATGATCCTTTTCATACGTTCTTTTCAGATTTTCCACATACTGCATCATTACTTCTGTTGCCTTTGACATACGCTTCTCCTAAGGAAGGAAAGAGGGGAATACTCAGGTAACCTCTACACTTCTCAAACAAATCATATGCTCCCTGTCAGGGCTAAATCTGGAATAGTTGTTCTTAAAGAAATATTGGTACCTCCAAGACTGAAAATTCTGAAGCTAATTAGAACACAAATGCACATGCATTCACATATATCCACAGAATATAATAATTTATTTTGTCATATATTTATACAGTCTGCCTGTGTGCCTATGTTATTAATTATGTGGTATATGTACATTTGTTTTCAAACCCTCGAAGGTCTCAGTCACTGGCATCAGTCTAGTTACTTTAGTGGGCAGAGGCAACAGTGTTGAATCTGGGAGGGTATTGCTGTGTTCTCATTTATACTTGCTCTGTTCTTACATTCTTTATAGTTGTCTGACGAAGCTATTGCCAAAGGCAGGTTACTGAACTAGATGAGCTTTTTGACCCAGAAAAGTTTTCTTATTCATGCTGCACTAATTTTAAATACATTTCTTCTGATGCAGCTATAGTTCTGAATAATATATATGCTCCTATCGTACAGATGTTGAATAGCTTCATGGGTAATATTCTGTTTGAATTCTATTTCCAGACCGAAATAGTGTCTTATCTGACACTACAATAAACATCTTCAATCTGTCATCATGACAAATAAAATTCAAAGGGCTAATATAACTTCCAGCTATGGCGGAAAATGAGAAAGAGTGAACATGTGCAGCCAGGATATGTGTTAAGACACCAGGATGTTCTTACCTGGCGAATAGCTCCAACCATCTCAGCACGACTAGATAGTCTAGCAGCTAAACGCCGCAGAACAGCAATATCCTCCAATAGCTTCTGGTAAGCTTCTCTGTGTTCATAGTGATGCCATAAGTGAGCTGAAGACTGAAGTGAAAATACATAAGCTTTACTGTCACGTCTTTCCACTTTTAGTTCAGATGAAGTAGCCTGAGCCTCAGAGGTGGGGTAGACATGTCTAGGCAGAACTACACATGGACAAGTTAGCCCCAGAGGAGTGCCACCACTACCACCAGAGGTAACCTAGTGAGTGCTGCTGCTCTGTTTCAAAATGGTGCTTCACTGCATACTGCAGGCACACCTTTTGAGGAGTTAAAAAGGGCTAAGCACATTTGCAATACTTTTCCTTCTGAAATTAATGATGAAGCATGCCTAGCTACCTGTGAACTTTACAAATGCCAAGCTTATTTGAACTAGTACTTACAAATGATTGCTGAAACACAAAGAACATTTTAATTCACTGGGCACAAGGTGTTAAGAAGGCCACTTATGTTCTTTCAATTCCATGGTACTTCACTTATTTGGAAAATAAGACATTATAGTCTCAAGAATTCCAAATGTAAAAGAGCAATCAAAACCAATATGGCCTGTAAATCAAATGGCAATTGCAATTTCTTAACCATTTTTTGTCAATCAATACACACATTTATGCACTGGATTAATATTGCCACTTTGATAGCTCCGATTAATACTGAAAAGCACTGAAGCGTATAAATTCCTTGGGATTAGTTACCAAAAGCAAGAGTGAATTTAGATGTTTTATTAGCCAATGCCTTAGTGAACACCTCTTCACTGAATGAGTTTTCTGTTCACAGAAAAGTTTGATATGAGAAAGCCCGATACAATTTAGTTCAGACTTACAGGCAAACTTCGGGATGTTGGATGATTCCTACATTCTTAAAGTGCATTAGCAGGATGCACCAGTTTTGGCATTGAGGTTGTCTTAAGTAATTAATCACTGTGTTGCTGTTCACACAATTCTCTCTATGACCAGTTGCGTTATGCCCTAGTTCTCTGCAACCCCTCATTTGTATTACTGCAAGAGTAAGTCAATGCATTGAAATGATCTGTGTGAAAAGAATAACCTCTCCTCCTCTTCTTCTCCCCCACTTCAAAAGAAGGGAGTGATGTGCAGTAACTTTTTGGTTAGAGTCATTTGAGAAATCGCATTTGTAGTGCAAATCTTTGGTATAGAAACAGAGACAAGATACTGATGAATTTGGTGCAACGACAACAGTTGCAACAACAAAAAAATCCTTAAACTTATTTATCACTGAAGCTAGTGTGATAACAAATTGCAGCCAAAATTTGACTGCAAGACCCAGAAGGCAAAAGTGAATCTGTTTCAGAAAAACACGCACAAAATTTCAGATTTTCAAGTTTTTCTTGGCAACTGTAACTTGCTTATTTTCTCAAACAAATCTGAAGTTCATGTAAATAAGCTTTCTCTTGAAGTTGGGTTTTTGAATAAAACATCAATTATCACAAGACTGATAAAAATCTTTCATTGAACCATATAACATGTGCCTGTCCTACAGAAATGAAGATAACCTCCCACTGAGATTGGAACAAGTCTAGGTCTAATATGATATAGATTATACAGAAGCCATCACTTCATTTAATTGCTTGTTAGTTTATTCCATTGTATAGAATTAAAGCTTTCATATGAAAATGGCAGGTTTCATCCATTGTATAAAAGCTTTCATATGAAAATGGCAGTTTCCACTTCGTTATAAATTACAAAAAAAAGCTTGGCTTGTCCAGACTGTAGCGTGTGAACTGCACAAAGGAGGAAAAAGCTAATCACATCTGTCCCATGCTGGCAACATGGTCCTTGGTGCCTAATTAGGGATTCTTAACAGAAATGCATATCAAATCTAACAGACTAATTGTTTGCAGTTTTAAGAGCCCTTATATACTAGTTGTAAAAATGTGTATGTATAAAAAATATTATAATAAACCACAGAGATTTAATAGGTTGTTTCTGCTTGCTCTTTAAACAGAGAACAGAGGGAAGAGCAGCAAAACATTCAAAACCTTTTTTTTCCCAGGAACAATTAATCTGGAAATGCAGATTTGAAATTCCAGATGAAGAGATGTATATACCACAATCTTTTTAATTGTATCCTTTCTTACCTGATGACGTTCTTGATAAAGTAAATGGGAGAATCGTATGTTCTCCTATTTCTCAAAACTATGGCAGCACCTCCTTGTAACATGCAAATTGGTTCTACGGGTATTTCATTTAGCAGCATGGTATCTAAACATTCCTTCCTTTTTTGCACAAAGAGGATGCAAAGAGGATAAAAGAACATCAGGGACAGGTGGAATGAAAATGTGTTCAGGCCCATAACCTGATCCTGGGATTGCATGTATTCCTTAAGTAACCCTCGCTGTTTCCTTTTGTATATTGCCTTCTATTATCTGCAGTTAAGAGGTCTTCCAAGTCACATATCTCAGGACTCGGATCATTTCAGTATCTCACCTAACTGGACACCTCAAATTTACTGCTAAAGAAGGTCTTGCCCAGGAGAGCATGTATCAGTGCTCAAACTGCAGTTCTGAATGCTCTTAGCTTTGTTACAGGCTTATTCCAAGAATTGAACAGCAAATTCATAGTATTTATTCCTGAAATCTGTCAGACGTAGGGCAACATCTTATATGCGTTTCCAGCAATGGTGGCCCACTCTGGCAGAAAATGCTCTCTCTCGTGTAGAGTGGTAGACAGCTTACAGTAAGGAGCTTGTGCAGCAGAAAATGAAGTTTTTGGGCTGAATTTACAATAGGCATAAGCAAGCGTACCCACGCATATTTCAAATGTGTGTGCACTTTCATGTACACTACAGTTCACAAAAAGAATTATTGTTGTTTTCTTACCGTAATGGCTGCTTTAAAGTTTTCCAGTTCCTTCTCGGCATTCTCTTCAGTAAGATTTCTCTCTCTCTCTGCTTGGTTAATTCTAGATTCCAAGGTATAACTATCATTTCTAAAGGCCAAGGAAAGTTGTACAAATACATTCTGTTTGGATTAAAAAAGGCATTTTCACAGTAATGTAATTTCCAGTAAAAACTTATGAATAAGGTATGTTTAACAAACTTCGGTGCTTAAATAAGTATTGAAACAGAAAATTGAAAATATTTTTTAAATTAGATTATTTCAAAAATCACTTCTCTCTACTGCCTCTAAAATATGAATAAATGTGTTGCTTCCTCTTTTCCTGAATGTTTTTCTGGGAGATCAGTAGAGCAGAGACACAATGAAGGAAGTAGCCTACCAGAAGTATCAGAATCACAATGGATCTGTTTTCTAGCTGGACTTCCTCCAAGGGTCCCCAAGGTTTTTAAACAGATAGTCTGTGCAGAGGAAGTCCAGGGATGAGCTCACCATTAGCATTGTTTTACCTAAGGGATAAACACCTACCACTGAAGCCAGCAAAAGATTAAGTGCTAACATTTTTATTCTCTTGCACCCTGCTTTTAAAGATTGTTTCTTTCTTTACCAGATGCATTATTTCTTAGGGTTAATACTTTGCAAAGCACAAGGCACCAACAGTTCCATTCAATTGAGCTATGTAAATAAAGATCTTTTTCTTGACTGGTATATGAAAAAAAGGAAGAAACAAAGACAGCAAGCTAAATTTTTTTAATAGGTTGCTCTTATTGGCTTGAACTGAAAAAGTAAAAATTAACTAACTGCATGATATCAAAAAACCCTGCCCCAAAGCTCCTATTGGCCAATACAAAAATGCATTTTAACTCATTTAGTTTCTGGACTCATTTAATCTCAATTTTTTTACTACTTTAAGTATATTATAATAATTTCCAAAATGAATGCGAAATTTATTACGAAGAATGCACAAACAAGTGTTTTGCTTATTCCTACTCTAAGTCTTTTTACAGTTTATATTGCCTGGGACAATTGCCTATATTTCATAAAATTGTTATTTTGATTGAGCTCAATATGTTTTTTTTCTGAGAAATATTATTTGGAAAAAAAAAAATCCCATTACCTGGTTCTAATAACCACCCTTAGACTTACAGTAACCACTTAAAATTAAGGCATATGTCTAAAATAATGAGTTTAAGAACATACTTACCTCAACTTCTTTTTCAGTAAGTGGAGGGGAGCTAGAAATAAAAGCAAAAAATTCACATTTTAATTAGTTTTGTCTCTAAAAACAAAGCTATTGTAATATTTAACCAAAAAGAACAACAAAAGACATCCTCCCCTTAAATACTTTATGGTTTCTTCTGGTGAAACCAGTATTTAATTAATTCAATTGTACTTGTTATAGCTAAACCCCATGGGGTTTTTTGGGGGGTTTTTTGGTTTTGTTTTTTTAAAGAAACAGCACAGTGTCACCTGAATATTGGCAAAAACATACTAAAGTTTCTGGCAACTGCAAATACTGCTATCTGCACTGCATTGTGATAAATTGCGAGTAGAAGAGCAAGACAGAAGTTACCCTTTTGGAGTTGTGGGTGACTTTATACGTTATACTTTGGATTATCTTTACCCGTTTTCCTTCTGTTAACAGCTGAAACCTCATGACGATCACAGATAATCACAGACGGGCAGAATTCAAAACCCAGCTCACTGTATACTGAACTATCCTGTTTTGGCTGCTAACTTTATTAGAAGTTAGCTAACAATGATTCTGACACTGACAAAATATATGTTTGAGTTTTATTTAATTTCTGGGAAATGATATATTAGCAGAGTGACAGGAATAATATTACCATATCTAAATGATATGATAATGATCCAAAGATATAATCACTAAATACAGAAAGAGGACAAGAAGTCTCTTTTAATCTTGTTTCATTCAGACTGAAGGTGAGTCTGTTTCCAGAGATACCATGAAATGTAATATCTCAGCCATCTCCCTGTGTAACAGAAACTTCAAAGCATTATGAAACAGTCCCAAAGCAAATCTATGAATTAGCAAATCACAAGAATGATTACTGACTATACAAAAACTAGAAAAAGTTACCAAAATGCAGTTTCATAGAATACTATTAAAAAAATGAGACAGACAACACTATATTCCAAGATCTCACTTAAAGGCAGTCATCGCATGTGTTTGAATTTACAGGTTCTTATTCCCTATAATTGTTCTAAAACATCAGAGGGCTATTCAGTTTTATGCAAGTGAATAGAGACGAGAAACATCTGAAAGAAATGACAGGAGCTGTATATACAAATTCTAGTGGATGCCAGTGATAGGAGTTGTGGTTGACATACCTATTGCGCATTGTGCAGACATGATACTATCAGAAAATTCAAATATTATTGTAATATTCATTGCATCATTAATCCCACATATAGAAATCAATGCATCTGGCATCAATAAGCAGCAGATTTTTCTTGCTGGGTAGAATAGTATTGATACTTAGAGTAGTGACTAGAAGAAGGGAGACCAGTATGTCCCCTGTGTTGGAAAACCATTTTGTGCCTAAAGTATTAGTATTCATATTACTTGTTGTTATTCTAGGAGGAAGCCTACTAGAAGGAGTAGTCCTTCTAGAAGGAAGTTCAAGCATCTGTATGTGTTATATAACAACACAGCACAGAATGATAAAATCCGTGTCTTTCCTTTGGCTGGGAACATTCTGAGAAATTTATAGTAAGAATGAAAAGTTATGTGTGTATTTATTCAATAGATTAAGCCAACTGATTAAAGAACATTACCTGAAAAACAGAAGATCTGTATATTATCTGATCCTCAAAGCCAGTTCAGCATTTACCTATTTTGTACTTAGCTATGAAATTACTTTTCTTTTCAGTATTTGATTACAATCAAGCAATGGTCTCTTAGAACTTCTTCACCTCATGCATTCATTTATATAAAATGTCGTGTATAACAGTTCCGTCACAACAAATGTTAAATATTTATTTCATCTGCACAGAGAACACTTATTGACTGCTTCAAATGATTGAAGGCCTCTGGTATTTATAGTGTAAAAACACACGGGTGAATTTAGGAATAGTTTTGGCCAAATATGTTTGGAATTGTTTTAATATCTAATAAGCATTTTTTTGTTATGGTTTTATTTTTCTCAAAGAAAAGGTTTATGCAGAAATATGGAAGAAGCTTCGCTTTATTCTAATGCAATACAAAATAAAATATGCTCAGTCTCTAAAGTTATCAGTGCTGCAAGGTATGTAAGGCATGTGGTGATAAATGCTTCATTTGAGCTTTCTTCCCTGTATTTCTTGGGCCAGAGCAAAATATTTTCTGAAGTTATGGACTTTTGTATCATTTTAAACATAAACTTCCCCCAAAAAGGAAAATTCCACTTAAATTTTGTCAAGAAAATATTAAATTTGGATAGTAGTAAACTCAAATCAGAATGAAAATTGGTATTCCTAAAGGTCTGGACAACCACTTGGCAGGTATAGTCTGTTATGACTCCACCTCAGAAGAGTATGGACAAAAGGATTCCCTTGCTATAGTTACATTGCATTATGCAACAATAGCTCTAGTTTCAAATGATCCCTTGTATGGTGCTACCCTACACATCTATAACATGCAGACATACTGTTTCAGATTGCATAAGAGGGAAAGGAGAAAATCCCGAGCCATGGCAGGTGTTAAACAATCTGTTGATAAGTGCCTACTTGCACAGCCCAAGATCGGGGAATTCGTGAGTGAGTCCTTCAACTATGTTTGCAAAATAAACTCCATTTCCCTGAAAAATTGTCACCTGCAGAAAAACTGCAGAATTCTTACATGCCCAAATTTTACTATTGGAAAGCATTATCTGGCCTGATTATTTTTCTGGGGGAAAGAAATACTAACACTTTCAACAAGAATTTATATCTGCAGCAACAATCCTGAAAACCAGGAGTGGACAGACCAGTAGAAAAATCTGTATAAAAATGTACTTGTAGCATGCAAGTTAGGTTTCAGACTTTTTATGTAGAGCTTACAAACCAATTTTAAAAGTTGGCCGGTTACTGGAAGTTGGTGGACTCCCCAGAATTTTTCAGAAAAACCCGTGTTGCACATTTTAAGATGCAGCAATTTGTCTACTTATATGGATCCCCTATGAATGGAACTCCATAAAGGGAGTTCACTGGAAACCATTAGTGTGCCTTCCCCTGGATGATGTCTTTCTACTTCTATTGAACTTTTACCTTCCTGGAAGCGATTTGTGCACTCGTAGTTTTCGCAGCAATACATCAGGAATGCTGGGCATGACATCAGAGCTATTCTTTGTCTCTTCATCTTCAGTGGGGGAGGGGAGAGGTGAAGGGCCTAAAGATATTTTGCGGATAAAAAAACCTCTTATGTTATTTGAAAAGTCATGCATTAACTATTAATAGTCAGCATCTCAGAGCCAAATAGGACCTTTTAGCCTAACTGTGCCCTTTTTAAAGTCAATGAGGATTTCATCCAAACTCTACTGGGAGCAAAAGTGAACAACAAGCAAAGGTCCATCCCTTCGTGCAGAATGTTACTTCCTTTATTGCATATGGTGATACATCACTCATCTCTCCTTTACTGCTAAAGTAAAGATCCTGTGTCTTCTGTTCGAGTAGTGGCAACAAAAGTAATCAGTACAATTGTCATCCTTTATGTAGAAAGACTGAACGGGCTCTGATAGTCTGTAATGCACTGAAAAATAATTATTGTATTAGTATTTTTCCTAGAATTCAAACTGAACCCAAATTCATTACTAGAACATCTAACCTGACATTTTGCATTTGTGCTTTACCAGTACAGTTACATCATTTCTGGAATATTTTAGCTTAGAATTTGTAATAAAGTACTGTTATTTTCTAAGGCTTTAAATGCCACCTGCCAAGATGAAGTCTGGTATAATGTACTATACTACAGATTTTGTGCACCATTTGTGGTGATGAATCTACAACATGTGCTTGTTTGTTCACTGCATGTTCATTGAAACAGGACATAAAGGTTATAATTGCATTCTCTACTTCTGTCACTTTCATAAGGACCAAGATATGGCTTAAACTTTTTTTTTTAAATTCATGTTACTTAACTTTTTAATTTTCATTTTATTTAATTGCATATATAATAATTCCCTTATCTCCTTCTATCTTGCCAGAATTTAATGAAGGACTCTCCTATAGGAAAGTCACGTTCCCCAGTGTGAATCTCAGAGTTGGGAAGGTATCTTTGTACAGTTCTCTTATTCATTTGGCATAAGAGAAAGATTCTTAGACTTGCAAAACAAATAATGTGAAAAAGCTCAAATTTTGTAAGTGTGGAGAGCATTAACATGAAAGACAGAAGAGAATGGGAGATTCTTTCTACCTACATTTTAGTTCTGTGTATTTCCTTTATATTTAAAAATTCCAGTATTTACTTAAGAGCAGTCATATCTGTCCCCATAAAAAGCCAGCCTTACATCACAATGTCTCCAGATCTCATATATCCCACTTATCTAAACTTCTGTATATGCAAAGTTGTGTTTACTAAGATGATCACAATAACTTGGCATTGATAGCAAAACATGATGGAGCCAGTATATTTGATTCATAACAGTAATAATGAAGTAGCTGGCTATCTCCTATTGTTTAAGCAAAATTACTACTCTAGTTAAAAAGCACAAGGTGGCTTTTATGGCAATGTAAGGAAGTAAGTCTCCCTAACAAATGAACTAAGGATTTGACCCCTCACTTGTTTTCCCCACTGAGGACAAGATGTTGACCCTTAATGTTCTGGCTATCATTTAGATAAGTTAGTAGACTTTAAAAAGCTTGTCATGCTCATGAGATCTTGGTTGAAAAACTGGATAAAATAATGCTTAGCTTTTCATAATGTTTTCCTCAAAAGTTTCAAATCTGCCAAAATTATGTAACAGGCTGGTAAAATGGCAACTATTTTACACTTTCAAACAGAGCCTGCTAAATAATTTCTGGGAAATGATATATTAGCAGAGTGACAGGAATAATATTACCATATCTAAATGATATGATAATGATCCAAAGATATAATCACTAAATACAGAAAGAGGACAAGAAGCCTCTTAATCTTGTTTCATTCAGACTGAAGGTGAGTCTGTTTCCAGAGATACCATGAAATGTAATATCTCAGCCATCTCCCTGTGTAACAGAAACTTCAAAGCATTATGAAACAGTCCCAAAGCAAATCTATGAATTAGCAAAGTGAACAGTATTAGGAAAAATGGAAATTGTCTTTGGATCAAATCTTGGATAATCAGTTTCAGCTCCTTTCATATTAACCATCTCTATTTCAGTTAATGTGGCCTTAAAAACACTCTGAACAAGTTCTGACTTAACCAAAAGTGTATATTTGTTTGGAAGTAGTTTAAATATTTTCAATTGATCGCTCAGCACTACTGCTATTTAGTTCTTCCAGTTGTTGAATTGTCCTCAGGATTATATCTTTGCTCTTTATTTCTATTCTGAATCTTTTTAGATGCAGCCTACAGGCATCGTCTCATTTGCTTGTGTTAGATTGGAAAAAAAATTTGGTGCCAGATTTCTGTTTCCTCATTTATATAGAGTTTTAAGCCTTTTCCTTATTAAAAAATCATACAAATTGAGCTAAAAAACCCCCCACTTATTGTAAGGCATATTTTTCCAATCCTTCAATCACTTTATGTCTCTTCTCTGGCCTTACTCTTACTTATCCACATTGACATAGAGCTGTGGACCAGAAGTGAACATGCCATTCCAGTATTTGCCACACATACACTAAAATAAAAAAGTAGGAATAAAGCATTCCATCTCTTATTTATACTTCAAGGACCATATTCACCCTTATGGCCACAAAATCTCGCAGAGGTCACATCCATTCAATCCATCACTGCTGAAAGTTTTTTTCAGAAAGTCACTGAAACTTGATACAGTCCTCCATCTATTCAGTACAAGCTAGACTCTGTTCCAGGTATAAATCTTTTAATTTGGTTGTAATAATACCTACAGTATCTTCTTGGCTCAGATCATCAAGAAATTCAGGTACTTTGATTATTGGTCTCTCTTACTCATTAATTACTACCCTCCTCCATGACTACTTCATTACAACTACTATTGCAATTGAAGAAAGACTTTTTTTTTCCTCCGTATTAGTCAGTTATAAAAATCAGTTCATAACAAACAAACACTCCTTCCAGCTTTTATGATACTGCACCTTTTTCCTGTTCAGCTGCTTCACTAAGTTCAGGAAGTTTAAGTCCAACTAAATTTTGATTTCTCATCAAAATATGCTCCTGTTAAGAAAAACAGTAATATTTCTAAGTAACTTAACTAGAAATCTCAATTTAAACATCCCTGCCATGTGAACACTAAATATAACATTCACTTTAGTTAATAAACATAATGGAGATATATATATTAAGTTAGAGTCAGATGCTACATGGCATGGATACATGTAAATTCACACACACACTCTTAAATGTTACATATTTCAAATTTCATACATGCATTATGTAGAAAAATTCCTGGTCAGGCAAACAGAGATTTACAACATGTGCCCCTTACTCAAGTAGAAGAATTGAGTTTTGGTAAATGAGATTTTTAGTAAATGAGAGCAAAAAAAGCAATTTTGGATATAGCCATAGTAATAAGTAAGTATCCCAGAAAGGAGAGAAAATTCAGCATATCAGATATATAAGACTTTACCACTTTGACTTATTCAGTAGGATTTATTCACACTGAAGCTTAGTATGCTACAGTTGCAAGTTAATACTTCACTGTTACTGTACTCTGCCCCTATTCCTTACAGGTAGGGAAGAATGTACTCTCAAGGATTAAACCTTGTTATCTTATTTCTCCTCCTATCATCTCATTTTCTACTTTCATATTCTCAAATATGTTTAAAATTCACAAACACCTGCTTTTCTTTATAAGTAGGCAATTCCTACTGGAGACAGAATTCAAATCTCACCTAACTGGAATTATATATTATGTTGTATTCATTTTCCGACTCTAACTACTATTTGTGCTTAACAACTTCTAGGACTTTCAAAATTATATGGCTCAAGTGTCTCTATAATCAAAACTTCCAGTACATATATGCTAAGAATACGTGTGTTATATAAACAGGAAAAGATTAATAACTGAGCTGCCATTCTCAAGCAATACAATGGGAATGAAATAACTGAAGTCCAGAATCTGAGGTCCTTGCCTGTCAGCCCTCTGTTCATCTTAAAATATTAACTACTGGAGGTCAAAGAAAATAGTCTTATTAGGCTGTTAAGGAAAATAACTAGTACATTTTTTTTCTTTTTCTTTCAAAGGTCATTTTTGCTATACACACATGCTAATTGCTTTATGATGGTGGTTTCTCATTTCATGGCATTTCTACTTTTTCAATACACTGGTTAATTCCTAGGGTTTAATTAATTTTTACCAATCATTTAGATAATTATTTAACAACGGATTACTTTATAGATTTCATAGTTCAAGTCTATCCTTCAAGAAGCTGACATATTTGCATCATGTTAGAATTAGGAACTCTAAGTCTGGCCATCCTCTACCTGCCCTTCCTCTCAGAGACACCCAGTTTTAAAACTCTGGACAGTTTGAGACATTGTCTGAGAATGTTTTGGTATGATTTTTTGCTTATTAAACAATTTCCTGTCCCCTGAGATCTTGCAAATGTAATGTTATTGCAAAGGCTAGTATTCTTGAATGACAGGACTACTGCCCTTAGAAGGGAGAATACCAACCAATACAGGGCTCAAAAACACTCAGCTGAACAAAGTAAAAGTGATTTTTAAATCCAAAGAAAGTTTACAAATATTATATGACATGCAGAGGCTTGTAAGCCGTCAAACAAGAGTATAGTAACTGTCTCCAAACTTCAGTTAAAGATTTCTGTTTATACGCAGGTCTCAGCCTACTCATACAGAAATCAGTCAATTAGTCAATGTATTGGAAGAGCCCGTGGATTTGAGTACAATGCTGAAGGAACAGAAAAAGCATAGCACAGGGAAGCAAAGGAAGTAAAAGAGCATAAGTGACCCTTTTAAAGATAATGTTGTTACATCCTGAGGAAGGAAAGATTCTTCAGATCTAAAATTCTCTTTAGAAATCAAAATAGATCATTTTAGTCCCAAGTACCTTTTACAAATGACATGATTGTTAATCAACTGCTTCCTGTTTATAGGTCATGTAAACGATGCAAATATGAGATATATTGTGTTTTAGACTACCTTTCTGTCACAATGAAAGCAATTAGTACTTTCTTGACACAAGTATAACGATTTTTTTCTGGTGGCCAAAACCTGCATGTGCAAGACCATATGCACATGCATATGTGCATACTGAAGAGACCACAGTGCAATTGATGCATATTTGAAGCGAACTAAAATAGAATAATTCCATGGAATTTAGTTACAGGTTACCGTTTACTAAAGTTGCAAAGGAAAAATGATACAATTCTGTATTGATTTTGCTGAAACTGTTTCCCATTATATTGCTGTATGTTTCCTGCAATGATAAAAATAATGCTAAGCAAGTTGAAAGTTTAGTAAGGTATGAAAATAACTTTAAAACAGGATACAGCTGATGACTAGGACTCACCTCTCTGAGCTTTGTCAATTTCTGCATTCGAACCGGTTGAACTTGGATTTGAAGGTCTTTGAATGCTTTTAATTGATTGCTGGATTTATTACCAACAACAAAGCTTTTATCTTCCTCAGACGGTAATTTTAAAGGTGTTTCATCCTTCTGTCCAGGCTCCAAGCTATCCCATGATACAGCCCGTAGTAGAGGAGGACGCAGTCCACACAGTTTAAATTCTGGTTTACATGAAACTTTATGGTCCCTCATTTCTGGAACAGGAATTTTTAGCTTTGAGTCTATATTTCCTATTCCTGGTCCTGGTAGATGGGTTCTTAAAGGAACATCATTTTCTTTTGCTTTCTTGAGGAATGATTTTCCAAGTTCATTTTCACAAACATTCACGCAAGTGTTAAGAGACATTCTGCCACCATCACCACCTGAAGGGGAGTATTTAGGTAAAGTATCCATATGTTTACGTGGATCAAAGTTTTCTTTTTGTTCTGAGAGCTTCTCTTTGGAGTTTTCAAAACCAGCAGAACGAGGAACAAACCTTCCCTGAGAAATCTTTCTTTGATCATTCTGCCTTCGATCAATTAATCCTCTTGCAGCATTCTGAAAGTAGAGGGACACACATAAAACAGAGAAACAAGTGCAGTTTTCTCTCTTCCCTTGCCCAAGGACAGATTTTCACTGTAAAAAGCCATTTCCTTTTCAGTGACATTGGCTTTTAAACATGTGCTGTTGACGAGAGAAATAATTTTTAAAAGGCACTTGAAAGAACACTGAATTGGGAATCTCTTCTCTGAACTTTTGAGATAACCTCCTCCCATTCCAGAGTCCATTACAGCAATCCTCATATAGCCAAGTTTCTCATCATCTTAATGTAAGGTTTGCCTGAGTGCATGCATTTAACCCTGTATCTTATAGCACTGTTACTTTCCTTTGATTGTTTTCCGTTAGTCCCTCACTTCCCAAGGGAAAAAAACATGGGCTTGTACACTAAGTTAAAGCACATATTGTAATTTCTCTCTTTTTACTTTGTGTGCAGTACCATAGATTATAATTTGGCTGCAATCTCTACAGGAGAACTGGCAAAAGAATGTTTGCCTATACCTTGGCTACTTTGATACAGAATCTGTATTTTGTCTAAGGGCACCTGTGTCAGCAATTTAAGGCAACCAACATACAATCTAACTGTGGGCTCTGCCTTAGATACGTTGCTACTCCTTTCCTTTATATTTGCTGCTCCAAAATTCTGCTGCCATACTGTTTTTTCTAAGTATTGCCTAATCCACTCACAGCAAAATCTCTTTAAAGGGCCATCTGACAATACCTGAAAAAAATTAGGAAGCATTCATATAAACTGCTCCACCAATAGTTGTGTGGAGCAGTAACATCCCATCAGTGGTGAGGAACACGAGATACAGTAACCTCTTCCACTGAACCAAAGGTGTCTGTAAGAGGACGTCTGTCTAAAACACCAGCATACACCAAAGTGGCTACAGTAGATATTTTTACTTTACTTATAAAGGTATTTAGTATATGATTTTAATTGAGCTAGAGCAGGGTGCATGATAGGATGTAAAGGCTAGCTGTAAGCCCATTGTCCTCCACTACATTTGCAGGTGCTTCACAATTTCTTACAGCGGTATCATTTTTCTTTTCAGTCAGTGAACAGTCTTTTAGCCTTTTCTAGTCACATAAATAACGGGCATATGTGTGCTAAGACAAACAGGCAGATTTTGTTCAACACTTAATGTGAAACACTTACCTCTGCAGTTTGCCTGTCATCCTCTTTCACAGTTCTGTTATTCTAGCAAAAAAGGAAGAAAAAAGTTGCCTTACAAGGTTATCTTTCACATCTATGCTGCAAATGTTAGATATAGATATTAATGGATGAACTTTGAATCTCTTAATTTTTAGACTGCTTGTCACATTTATTTATGAAGTAATTTTAGGGATTAGTTTTTTCCATAGATTAGGATTATATTGGATCTTTTTCCATTTTCTACACTTAACATCTCTATGATCCTTCAGCACTTGTCACCTCATGGATTTTTGTCTTCAGAGTAAACATTTATTAGTCACTCACTCTGCAGAAAAAACATATCAATAACCCAATCTTGGTATATAAAATGGTATTCAAAACATCCCATTTTCCTCAGGGACTAACAGGACAGCATAGTGTAATATAGTACTGTAATAACCAGGTTACTGTGCAGACTATTCAGCTCTTTCTTACCTGCCCTGGAGATCCTGACTCGACACTAGCGGTTGTGCATGCATCAGACCCTAGAAAGACACACACATAATTAAGGCATATTCTGATGTCTTGCTCAAAATTTTTACTACTACAGCATTAGCAAACACATACATGCACAGTTCCATGTAATATATTAAGGACAAAATTTAAATGTGGAAAATACTATTTAAAAGGGAAAAAAAAATCTAAAATATAGTAAGTGAAAGATCATTAAGATCCCTTCCAACCCAAACTATTCTATGATTCTATGATTAAAGCTTCTGAAAACCCCATTATTGAAAAGAGTAAAAAAATAGAACATGTAACCTAGCAGCACCACAGGAATAAAAATATAGTACAAAAAAAAAAAGTAAAAATATATATTATGGGCATTCATGAGCTTTGTCATATTCAGGAGGATATGCTTGAATCTACAGATTTTGACTTCTCCTCAAGAAATATTAAAAAATACATTTTTGTGAGCTTTTATAAGTTAAAGTTTGAACCTGCATAGATCATTTTACCTGATGGAACTGGAAGAGTGAGAGAGTTGCTCCGAGATGCTACTGGTGAAACTTTAGGACTAACTGTAGGGGAAACTGCTTCATTAAAACAAAGACAAAAACAAAAAAAAGGTCATTTTACTTTCTAGGCTTGTAGCTTCTGAATTTTTAAAATTCAGATAAGTTTAAAACATGAATATCATAGTCATCAATCATGAGTTTGTCCAGAACCTGACAAGTCATTTTAGGAACCTAGAGTAGGTTTTATCTCATATGCCTGCCATAAACAAATACAATGCTGTTGATACACAGAATCCTTATTCTCCTCAGTTTTCTGATACTGTAAGCACTGCAGAGAAGTAGACACAAGAGAAGGATTCACAAGGAATTTAGAAATTAAAAAAAGGAAAATTTAATTTTAAAAGGTATAGTTGTTTTTTTTCCTCCAGAAAGTGTGAAGCCAATTTTAAGATAGAACTTTGTTTTGAATTGGCATTTCAAAGCTAAATGAAAGTCCTACTTCATGATAAAATGGCATTTTGTCCTAGTTTTCAAACACTTCATATGAGGGAAAAAAGATAATTTCAACTGACATTCTAGAACAAAACATTTTATTCTGCTGTTTTTAAAGGAGGATCTGGTCCATTCAGCTTAGTTTATGACTATGTTCAGAATAAAAGTCTGTGTAATTATGTCTGGGGGGAATGTTTTTTCAGCAGTATGAATCTTGCCATTAAAATTTCATTTTATGTACAAAAGGAACTTTAGGAAGAAAATCTTCACAAACAGAAATTTGTGACCATTTTTTAGATTCCAATAGAAATACTTCATGCTTTCCTGTTAAGGTGTTTGCAGTGTGTCATTCAGGCACTTGAAATCTTTACACCATCTTCCACTGTTACATCTGAATATAGAGATTGGTCATTTCTGTTTTATACGGAATTGTGAGAAGGGGCAGAGGGATTCTGACCTTCAAATTAACAAAGTGTATGTATACAGTAGCAATGTATGCATTACAGTAGATGCTTGTTTGAGCCTTTGCAGATCTTTGAAGTAGAATATAAAATCCTGTTTTCATAATCTGCACCTACCTGTGGGTGACTCCGGAAGGCTGCTTCTTGACTTTCTGCCTCTGCGCATCAGAAACCTCTCGCTCACTTTCTTTGCTTCTTCTAGTAATTCAAGGTTCTTCTTTTTGTCTTCCTCTGATATTTTGACATATGGTAGCTGATCATTTACCAGATCAATCACATGACCACTGTTGTCTGGGTAGAAAACGTCAGAATTAGAGCTGTACCTCATATTTCCAGATATGCTGTGGCATTTCAGAGTAGCAAGTACAAAACGTACCTATAAATTCAGCTTTGAGCTTGCATTTAACAAACATTAATGTCTGCTCATTTCTAATGTTGTTATATTCTCAAGTTTAGAGCAAGTCCTCAAAAACACAGATAACCCACTAAGATTAAGTCACTATGATCAAAGATGCTCTGATATGTGAAACTAGCTTTTCTGGCTGTGTCCCCAGTACAGTTTTTCTAATTTATCAGTAAAAGCAGCATTAGATCCATCTCAACTAGCAGTCACGGCATTTCTGTCGTAGACTCAGTTTTTCCATGGATTTTGTATGTCCAGTTTTTCAAGGCTAAGGTCCCACAAACTCACCCAGCAAAGATTTATGCACACTAGTTTTAAGATACAGGTGATTCCATCAAATAATCTACAAAACAAAGTGCAGCGTTTGGAAGTATAAAGATTTTATTCTATGCAGATAGAAGAGCTTTTCCCACAAATACAGAAGCAACAGTAAAGCTGCATCTGGCAAAGCTGCAAGCAGAAGAAGTTGAATAGCTAAAGCCTGAGAATTATAAAGCTATTTCAAAAAGCAAATCAATCTCTACCATGTGGTGGACCTGCACGAATTTTCCAAAGGAATTGCAAATCCCATTAGAATATCCAATGGTTAAAGAAGGCATTGTTAGAGATTGCTTTTCCTCATGCCCACTTATGTTTATAGGTTAGATATGTGACCCAGGAGAATGCATGGACCACAAACTGAAAGCCGCTGCCTTACACTTAGACCTTTAGATTAATGCACTGTTTTCTAAACAATTTTTAATTAGTTGTAGAAAGAACCCATTAATCCCTGGCTTCCAAATTGGTCAAACACACTAAACTTTGAGCACTAATTTTTACAATTCCCCAGGCTATGATTAAGCAAAGAATGTAGCTTGTTGTCGGAAAGGCTCTCTGTGTGAGTTGGTATGAATGGCTTCTACAAGCATCTAGGCTTGTATGGAGAAAGAGTTACCTGAAAACAACAGGCCAAAAAAAGGAAACATATATGCTGACAAGGTAGTGTATGCAAGTTTTTCATGGGTTGATAAACTCTACAGACTAGTAAGCTTGTTGGATCTGCAAGAACTGATAAACAGACCACCAACAGTCTGCTCAGTCTGTACAAGGCCACAGGCACACACTAGCATCAACAACAGACTGCAAGTCACACATTTATTCTCAGGTAACTCTGAGAAAATTTGTAACTGTGTGAGTGAACTAACGATATGAGTGAATAAGTGACTGTGTCATGTAAAGAGTTATCTGGTATTAGTAACAACTTGATCACATTAACAACAGCTTAGTGAATAAAATGTGTTCTAAGAAGTATCAGTTGTGACTGTCTCTCTCCCCAGCTTGATGATGAATTTATAACGCTGTTTTGCAATAAGAACAACTTACTAAAGAACAGCTTGGGTAAGGGGGAGGGAAGTCATCAGGTAATAAGAGAAACATATTTTTAAATTTGACAAGAGCCATTACAGAACAATCAGTCTTCAGAAAAGCTAAGGACGTAAGTAAGCAGCAAAAACTCAAGGGTTTTTGGTTTGTGGGTGTGGGGTTGTTTGGTTTGGTGTTTTTTGGGTTTTTTGGGGGGAAGGGTTGTTTTGTTTTTAATTTCCATAAATTTAGTTCCATTTCAAGGCTGTCAAAATGCATGCCCACAGATTGGATATTCTTAAAGCAATCTATTTTTAATGAAATATCTTTTGTTTTACACTATGATTTGTGTGTTGAAAGTTTGAGAGAAGGACCTCCCATGGCACTTTCCTTGGGCCAGCAGAAGAGGAAAGCTGTAAGGCATGGTAATTTCTATCTTCCTTGAGCAGATGAGTTTTCCTCACTATACTCAACATCTTTGCCTCTTTATATTTGCCTTGCCTTCTGCCTCTTCATCACTTCCATTTCCCTTCCCCTTTGCTGCCATTTCCTCTTTTCCCATGAATTCCCTTTAGTTTCTCCTGCTGCATCCCATCTCAGCACCTGCTTACAAATGTTCAGAGAATCACTTGTTCATTATTTCAGGTCTACAAGTTCATGATTTTGTACATGTCCATAAAATTATGTTTCTTTCAGGCAAGTCAGACCTCCAACAGGAGACATTTTGTAACAGAGTTTAATTAGAAAATGCCTAACTTAGAAAAGCAATATCTTAGAATCATAGAGTAATTCAGGTTGGAAAGGACTATTGGAGGTCACCTAGTCCAACCTGTTCAAAGCAGAATGAGTCGTGAAATCAGACTAGGTTTCTGGTCTTTCAAGACAATCTGGTCTTGAAAAACCTCTAAGGATGGAGATGCAAAACCTCTCTGGGCAGACTGTTCTAATGCTTGATTCTATAGTGAGCGAAAAATTCTTCTTTCTACCCACTTAGAGCTTCGCTTGTTTCAAATTACGTTCATTGCCTCTTGTCCTCCTGCCATGGGCCTGAATCCGTTTTCTTGATAATCTTCTCATCAGTATTGAAAGGCTGTATTAGGTTTCCCCTAAAGCCATCTCTTCTCCAGGCTAAATTAGGCCAGCTCCTTCAGCCTTCCCTCACAGGTCAAGTGTTTCCAGCCCCTGGACCATCTTTGTGGCCCTCCGTTGGACTCACTCCCATTTATCAACACCCTTCTTTTATTGGAGGTCCCAAAACTGGATGCAGTTTTCTAGATACAGTCTAGAGTGCTAAATAAAAGGGAATGAACACTTTCCTTGATCTACTGGCTAAGCTTCTATTAGTACAGTCCACAATACTGTTAGTCCTCTTTGCTGCAAGGGCACACTGCTGGTTCATGTTCAACCTGCTGTCTACCAAGGCCTCCAGGCCTTTTTCAGCAGAGCGGCTTTCCAGCTAGCCAAGCCCCAGCCTGTATCTACTGCAAGGGGTTATTTCTTCCCAGACATAGGACTCTGAATTTGTCTTTGCTGAATTTCATATGGTTCCTACTGGCTCATTCCTCCAGCATGTCTAGGTCTCTCTGAATTGCAGCACTGCCCTCAAGCATGTATTAATTAATCTCCCCCAATTTGATTTCTTCTGCTAATTTGATGAGAGTGCACTCTATCCTCCTCCAGTCATTGATAAAGATGGAAAGCACAACTCATTTTCTTGAGTGGGTTCTAAGAACACAGCCAAAGGCCAGCCGCAGCAGCTGGAACAGAAAGCAGGCTTGAAGCAAAGCTCTGTCTTCAGCAGAATGACATCTGGAAAGGTTTGTTTCTTTCAGAGAACCCTCTCCTTTTGCTAACATCTAGGGAGCATATGACCAACCATCCAGTCACAACCCTCAGAGCCAAACTATCCAAACAATATTTTACCTGTCCAGTTGTCCACCCATCCGGATCGTAAAGCCCTAATTTGGATACCAGATTTGGGGAGCAGGCAGGGCCGGGAGGGGAGCAGCTCTTGCTGCTGCATCTCTGAATATGGAGGGATAATCATTCTTTTGTATAAGTCTGATTTCTGTAAGTATAGTTCCATTAATTTATTTAGTTTCCACAAGTTTAATTACCTTTAAAATCAACTGCTGGCAAGCAGGATAGATTTTAAGTGTTCCAGTTTCCCTTAAGTGGATCTGAGCTGATTTACATGGATCTTATCTCCATCTTAGTTTTATAGGACATATAAAGGAAGTTTCCCTTTGAATGCAAGCAGCCAAAAACCACATTTTACTCATTAATTTAAAGGACCAATCACAAAACTGGAGCAAATGCAAGAGAAGTCACAACTCTTTGAAGCCTCCTAACAATCTTTCAGTGGGCTTTCTCTCAACTACATTTTTATAGGCATACTGATGCAACTGAGTACCCAGTTACGAAAGCTTCAGAATCACAAACTAGTAAGGATTAATTCTGACTGTTACTGATACGAATAGTTAGCACCTTCTCTCTGCATGGCTGAGAAGCTAACTCTAGTACAACAGTGGAAATACTACTTAGATAAAATATTTTATTTTCTTATTAAGAAAAAGGCAATGCCAAGGATGTTCTGCTAAATTTAAAAATCTCCAATTGTCTATTTGTGTAAAACTAGTCCAGGATCCCAGGTTTCTAAAATTATTATTGTATTTTTGTCATGTCACAAATATCAAATTAATTCCAGCAAACTAACCCTCATAAATCCACAAAAAGGGAAATGAAATGTGTAATAATACATTAAATTCTGCTGGAAAGGGTTCTGGCCTCTCTGTTTTGACCACCGGAAAGAAAAAAAATAAGGTATATACACTGTTAATAGCAGAGATAGTTTGGGTTACTTTCAGAGGTACCTATTATTTTTTTCTTCATGCAATACCTCCTATATAAGAGAAAGTAGAAACATACCTATAATTTATATAAAAAGGGAAAGAACCCTAGGGATGCATGATCAGCAGACCAATGCTTATAAGAAATATTTGCTGAGACTGCCAGGAATCCCTTTGCTATTGGAAAATTCAGAAACGCTCCATGAACCCCCATGCCTATGTTCAATATATTGATCAAGAACAACTCCACACTTCTGAGTTTCTTAATAAAAACACGTGAAGAGGACTTATTAATCAGAGCCCTTAATAGAATCTCAATTACTAAAGGCAATCTGAGCTGATAAAACAGAATTTTTATTCTGAATATTTTGAGTATCGGAGAAGTAGCAGGGCTCTGACATTTGCTGGTGCTTTAGTAATGAAAAAAAAAAAGATACAGATGCATCTGTTTCAAGATGCCTAAGAACTAGGTTCCTTAGTGATAGTAGAAAGGCTGCTTCCCTTTAAAAGCCTCTAGGAGTATTGGAATAGTCACCTGATAAGCTTGGTTTTAAGTCTGTCACAAACACAGTATTTTTTTTAAGTTATGCAATGATCACACAAGTCCATGATTTTACAGAAAACTCTTTTCATGCACAGCATAAAGCAGTGATAATTGGCTCAAATTAAGTTAATGGCTAGGATAAAGTAACATTGTTGTAAAGATAAAAATAATTTTTAAAATGTATTCTAAATTCCTGACTTTACATGTGATAGTATAACCATTCTATCAACTCTGTTCAACTTTTACTTTACAGGAAATACATAAATGGAGACAACAATCCAAATGCAAACATATTAAGACTAAGAACTGATGGGAGCTTTGCCACTGACTTAACAGGATGAGCATTTACCTCAGTTTGTAGTACTCACAAATCTGCATCCACACCATTAGTCCCCTTGAATAACAATTTACTCCACAGGTAGCTATCGGAAAACTAATAGAACTAATTATGTATTAAGAGACTTCAGAAAGTGAAGAAAAGAAGAAAATCTTCCCCTGGCTAGCTGTTTTCCTTTAAAGTTTAATCTGATATGATAGCCAAACTAAATAACTTGAGACTTAAGTGTCTGTTAAGCTCCTTACTAAAAAAATTCCAGTTGTTCAAAAGTAACAAAACCAGTATTACTGAACAGTATTTTGCGTACAACAAGAATTTCAAGCCTGTATATCTCCAGCCTTCTAAAAATGTTAAGCTAACACACTAATCTAACAACTTTATGAAACTAACAATATGAATATTTCCCTGGATCTGTCTGCATACAATCCACTTATGATCACAAACTCATGATCACAATTCAACATGCTAGCAGTATTCCCTGTGCATGCATTACAGACAGTATGCACAGGAAAAAAGCTGTAGTCAATACAGTCAGACTCCATATTTAGGTCTTTATTGCATGTCACATTTTCTGAGAAAACATCCTAGCTTAAATGAATAATCACTTCTTACCAACAGAAGTCAATGAACTTGTTGGATTCCTAGTGGCACGGTTACAATGTCTCCTATGAGGACTACGAGACCTAGAGAGAAAAATTAACAAACAAAAATTATGGGAGTATGCCACCAAAAAAAAAAAAAGTTCTACTTCTCTATAAAAATTTAACATTAAAAAGAAAGCTCTTTTCTTTGATTAAAAAAATGAAAACGAAAAGGTTTTATTGCAATTCCTCTCATCTCCAAACAACTGGAAAATGGAGGAAAATTGCAGAAACAAGGAAAATTACAGAAATTGCTCTCACAAAGGAGTTCTGACATTTGCTGATAACCTCATACACTTGATTGATAACTTTTGATTTCTCAGAAAAACTACATTTCTTTAGTTCATTATCACGACTTAAAACTCATGTAAATATGGTACATTGAAAAAAAAAAAATAAGTCTTTGTAAATTGTTAGTGCTTCCTAAACTAAGTTTTATGACTGAAATAATTTCTTAGGCTCCAACACTGACACTCCCATATAGCAATACAGGAACTTTCTAGACTGAAAAGCAGGTGAAAGTCTCAAATGACTGCAGAAAATTAAATGCTGATCCAGCAAATAATGCTGCTTTTAAAGGGCTGCATTGTAATTCTGACTCTTAAATAATCTTGAAGTTTGGAGAAGTACACTTTAAAAGTACAAGCAAATTATAGTACAGATTTATAATCAATACTTTCTGATTAGTTTATTCCCATATTTTAAGTCTAATGGCAGGTCAATAAATCAAAAACCCCAGGTCAAGAAGTATGCTTTATCAGAAGACTGAAAATAACCTTAATTCAACTCAAAATTGAATTGAAGTTTTCAACTTCAAACAGGATTATTATTTACATTCAACAGCTTACTTTCATGTATGCTTAATCTTAAGGTGGTATTCTTGCCCTGTTTACCTGAATGGGCCCAAACATTCGCTTCAAAACTCACTGTACTATAGTATTCAAGCTAGACATTTAAGTTGTCCAACTGTCTAGCTTAGAAACTTTATCTACTTGAATTTTCAACTGATACCTATTTTCTTTCACAAGATCAGGAACGTGGTCCTATCCCAGTTTCCAGGTGCTACAGAAGTTTCTTTTGCAGCTCCACCAAAACAGTAAGGAGGACTGAACAGATACAAAGGAGGAAGGGAAAGAAGAGAGCTGGAAAAGAAGCCTACACTTGTTGCACCTGTGTTTTAGATAGAAAAAAAAGTCCAGTAACTCAATTTCCAGTGCTTTCAACTCAGGACTTCAAAAGAACTGAGCATATCTTAACTGGCTTTAGAAGAAAATTTTAAAGATGCTGACTAATTATATCATGATATTCTAATATTAATATCTCAGAATATTAACTTATGAAACAAAGTTAGCCAGCAATGCCAGACTACCAACAACTTTTGTAAGAAAAGAAACAATATACAATAACAGTAGCTTCACCAGCATCACCTTAAGTTATATAACACAGTATGTGTTTTAAGTCAATACCAAGATAATATGCACAAGACTGGAAGGTAGATTTATTCTGAAAGACATATGTAATATGCTAAACCTGTCAAAAGAAGGTAAGAAGCATTTTCAGAAGTTCATAAAACTATAAAAAAAAATAGAATACTTGAAAAAGCTATTAGTAAAAATTGCTAAGTATTTTTATGATATTAAGCCTTCCTTGGAAACTTTCTGCCCTCAAAGATAAGACTTATTATACAAACTGTCATACATTGCAAACCTTCCTTCTTCATTAAAACACACTTTAGTAATTTAAGGATCATGCAAACAGACTGTTTTTAAGAACAACACTGTTGCTGCATTTTCTTTTCAATAGACAAAACAATTACAACAGATTGCAAGTATTATTGCTACAATGTCTATTTTTCAGCACGATACTAAGAATATTGTAATAAGACGGTAATATAGCTAGTTCTTTATTTCAAGAAGGGAACAGACAACACAGGCTTTGTACATAAGATATACACATTTGCAAGAGTCAAAGACATAAGATATACACATTTGCAAGAGTCAACACTGATGGCTGAGCATATACCCTGAGGAACTTACAACTTTAGTATTTAAAAAACAGTAATTTTTTAAAGTCTTAAAAGGATTAATTTCCTAACTCTACATCAGTCTACAAAGTTCTTATTGGTTCAGTGGAAATATTTATATGATTAAAGGCAAAACTACTGGTGTACATATATAATTAGTCAACCAGAATTAGGGATTTAGCTACTGAATTGAAAAACTTCCATGGGGGGGAATATTTCAGGAAACACGAAATGCTCAGTTGTACTTTTTTTGGTCTCAGTTGCTCATTGACTGGGTCTAAGTAAAGGTTAAAATTTGGACAGAAGGATAGTATTGCGCATTGCCATCCACAGAACATGAGGAATCCAACTGTCAGTCACCCTTGTAGTAGGTGTAGGATTGTAGTGCACACACACACCACTATATGTCTACAACAGGATTTGACCAAGCAGTTTTTTTCCTCACCAGGCCATATTTTATTTGCTAGCAAAAGGATGGACTTCAAAAGTTACAGCTTTTAGTCCAAATTTTGCAAAACTTTAATTTACATATTGGTTTTAGTTTCAAATTATGCTATTCTGAAAGATAAGAAAGTTCATGTAAATTTAAAGTATACTGAGTCAGGTTGGTAGGCTTAGTATTATATGAAACTCTACCCTTTTAGTATCAATTATATTCCTGTGTCATTCCCCCCCTTCCCTGCATCCTAAAAATCATCATCAAAATGCGAAGACAATATGATCAAATTACAAATAGAGATACAGCAATAATATGTTAATACAATACACATTTCAAAACAATATTTTAGAAACACAGCTCCAGGAATTACTGTACAATTTATGCATAGATTGGTAATGTATTATATAGTACCTGTTAACCAGATTTTTATCAATTTCTACATCTGGCGGAACAGCATTCTCTGGAAGAACAATAGAAGGTGTACTGCATGTTGTCCCTTCAACAGTAGTGTCCTGAATGGTTTGTGACAAATACAAAAATGTAGTTAAACAGAAATTCAAAACACTGAATATTGACACTCTATGTGGAAAACAATGTGTATTGCTCAATTTAGCTAAAAGAGAAAATGACTGAACTAAGTGAGAATTAGCTCTTATTTGATAAAACAAATGTGAATTAGAGGCCTGTACTTAAATTGCTAAAAAGAGATGATGGAGACCCAGAATATTTGTTTTCTTTACAAATTTTAATGCATGCAAGCTAAATTCAAGAAGCATGGAACTAATGAGAAAGCTTTGAAATGGCAGACAAACTGATTTTTCACACAGCGAACCATTCCTCTACTGAAGTACATGGACAACACTTTGTGAACTTATGAGCTGAATGCAAGAGTGAAAAGCAGTTATGTAAAACGGGGCTAAATTAGGCACACAAAACCTCCAAATGGTACTAGTGTGCAATGAAAGCTTGAATAAATGCAGTATTAAGTGTACACATGCTATCCAAAAAAACAGAAAACAATTATAAGGTTATCTTGTTAGTGTTCTACTTGGTTTTCCCTCCCATTAATTGGAAAAATATTTTTTAAAAAATATAACTGCAATATTTAATAAAATACAACATAATTTTTAAGTGACAAAACAAACTGGCACTGAGTATCAATGTATGCTTGCCTTCTTAAAAAAGATGAGAACTTGTCCCTAGAACTTAATCCCACACCTTCTACCACAATGATGCCAATCAGCTGAAGAGAAGGAATCTGTTTCTTGTGAGATATCCCAAACGGAGATGCATCAAGTTGGAATAAAGAACTGTGGATTTCTCATATGTAGTCAAAAAAATGATTACTTCTCGCCCACGTACTACATTCAGATTCACCAAGAGAAAAAAAAAAAAAAAAAAAAAAGGTTTTGGTTCAAGGAAAGCAGGGTTGCAATCTGGTGTTTACAGTCAGTCAAGAAGTTGAAAAAAGTGATTCACATAAAATCATGCAGAGGGGGGAAAGTGTAGGCTCCTGTTAGAAGTTGCAATTTTTATTTTAGAGTACAAACATGAGATAAGTAGAACATACCATGGCAGTGTGAGTTTTTATAGCTGGAGGGAAAGCTTCCCAAAAGTGGCAGGGGACTGCCATCAATCAACTTGTAAAATTTAAAGAATAATTTGTAAATTTGTAAATCCTAATTGCTTCTGTAGGCATGGGTATGTACAAGTATTTTATTTTATTTAGTTATTTGGAGTTTAAGTTTTTCTTGAAACTACATCCCAAAGTTTCATAAGAAATTTTTACTTCAGTTGAGGAGGAGAGGAGGAGAGATTTTTCAGTTGGAAGGGACCTACAATGATCATCTAGCCCAACTGCCTGACCACTTCAGGGCTGACCAAAAGTTAAAGCATGTTATTAAGGGCATTGTCCAAATGCCTCTTAAACACTGACAGGCTTGGGGCATCAACCACCTCTCTAGAAAGTGATGCTTCTGAATTTTCTAAAAGAGCATGTTTGCTATCCATGGCAAAGCCAATTACATTTAGCTGTTATAAACATAATTTTGCTTTTACTGAAATAGCATTTGCTGTCAATTTTGCTTACTCCTTTTTAAGAATGTTTACCTACTAGAGGTTGACACAAGTGTAATGAATTCAGAATAACATTTATTTTAGTAATATTCATTAAATAGGCAGGTAATAAAAAGCTGTTATAAAAGCACTAATTTAGGCATTTACAGAATGCAGCATGTAATAGCTCACAGTTTAACAAGTCAACATTTTAGAACAGAGAAAATTAAATAATTTCAATTATTTGAAACAAAGGCCATCAATGAATAATTGTTTCAGTCATCTACGGTCATGTGGAGAAATTAGCATAATCATAAGGTTTGTTACAATAAAGAAGTAGCCAAGAGTATAAATTGAAATGGAATTACATACATCCAGAAAGCTAACAGTTACATGACTGCTAATATCCATCAGATACAACAGAACTCCTTTCAACATCTCTCCCAGTGCTGCGTTTTATTCTTGTTGAAATAATGTATTTTCTGATCAGTTCAAAGAACTCTAGAAGCATTTTGAAAATGGTATAATATTAAAGTATATAGCATAATCCTTCTTCCTCTGAAAGGCAATAAAATATGCTTTGGTTTGGACATCTGATTTAGGATTCTTGATTCTGTTGTAAATAGCAGGGTTTTTTACTAAAATAAATACATTCCATGCAGTTCCACACTTCTATACTCATAATTCTCATATGACGTTCCTCGGCAAGTTCACATTGTCAGTAACAGGAGAGCAGGATGGGAAACATGCCAAGAAAATAATATGAAGATTTAAGTTTAAGAAAAATATCCTTGTAATATTGGAAATGTTAGAATGTAAAAGCATGATATATTATGATTCAAGTGTACAACTGACATTGTATGATAATAGTTTGAAAGCAATTTTTAGTAATATTCTTGAAAATGTTACTAAGTAACAATGTATTTTGTCTAACAGTCAATGACAAAAATTCAGGTCGCTACCCTGCTTGTAGGGCAAAGCAGCTGAGTACACATGCACATTGTTTATACTAATCTCATGACTGCCAAAGAGCAAAAGCTTTTGAATGACGTAACATCAGCCTTAAAGTCACTCAAGTCCATTTTAGGACTCTAAAAACAGCTCATTAAAAAGAAAAAAAAAAGAAAAGAAAAAGAAAAAGGCTATAGCCAAGGCTAGTTCAGGTCAGGTAAAATACATTAATCTTGGTCAGCAGCTACAGCAGTTCAACTTCTACACAGGTGGAAACTCATGCCTCTTGTCGTCTAAACCTATTGTACATCTGTATAGGAGAGGGGCAGGAAGAGCTAGAGCATGAAGCTCTTTGCAGGGCCAGCTGGCTTCAATCAAAAGAAATCTTTATACTCTGAAGAGTACTCAGGCTGCTACATGCAGATCTTGGAAGAGAAGTTTTAACAGGAAGCTTAAGCTGTCTCACAGTTGTACATCTGCACAAAGATGATACAGAAGTTTTCCATCACTCTCCCACTGCCTGCCTGTAACTGCACTCTCCGTGTTAGCTTCCAGACAAGTCTGCTCTTTAGCTATTCCCAACAGCTGCCTCATCTCCTAGTACCAGTGACTGCCTGCTACCAAGTCTTTGCTTCCGTTTTGTCCCAAGCCCTCCTCCCATAAAAACATAGGGTAAAACTGACTCCACCTCTATGGCTCAGGTGGGAACTGAGCCACATCCATCTACAAGGATGATCATGTGCCATCTAGTCTTGCAGGGAGGCTTGTGCAGGGCAGAGAGGATGGCACATGCAGTTTCGTCCATAAAAGAAGATCCAAGAGGCTCAGGGATACTCAGGGTGGATAGGATCTGCAGACATTCTGGCTGTTAAGCTCTACCATGCCCTCACAAAGCATACAAAAAATGCGTTTTTAGAAGTTTTATAATCCAGCCAAATTCAGATGGATTTGATCAGTAATGGGGGGGGGAGGGAGGGGGATCTCTGTGCTAAAAGAGCTCCCCTGCCAAGACAGTCAGATGATAAAGCTTTACTGTCTACCACCTGAATTCTTTAAAGCATTGGGGGGGGGGGGGGGGGGGGAATCCTCTGCCCCCTGCCCATTTTCTCAGAACATGAAACTAATTAAAGGTCTGGACTGAATTTCAGAACAAATTTGGCCTGAAACAGACACTTATGTGAAAGGCCTCAGAAAAGTTATGCATCTCAGAGTGCAGTCTTTTGAGTGAGATGGGGTTTTAAATAAGTTTAATTTTAGATGTTTAAGTGAAATGTTGAGCTTAGAGTTTAGCAATTAAGGTAATGAAATTCAATTGTTACTGCATCTAGTTGAAACAGACAGGAGAACAAAGTAAACATGGGAGATCTTCAGAACAAAACAGATAACATACAGTGATTTGATAAAAGTACAACACAAATTTAAACTGGAATAATAAAGAAATGCAGAAGCTTGAATGATGGAATAATCAGTATACAAGAAAGATTATGAACATCTGAGACACACTTTTCCTCAGCAGTCAGAAGAGCCAGTAAAATAGCGTTCAGGATACAAAGAGAGGAGAAAGCTGGAAATAGAAATAGGGATTTTTTATTTAAAAAGAGGGAAAGATGGCAGCTCACAACCAACCGTGAAAGTGTAGGGAGATTTATAGGCCACTATAAATCTTAACATAACTGGTAAGGATCTATTTTCTTTGCTGCAGGTACACATTACACGTATAGAAATTACATTTTTAATACTAAAAACCTGAAATCAGTTTTGAAGGGTATCAGTAAAAGCATATTATAATATTATATTATTCTATGTGAAATAAATCTAATTAAATTAAAATATGGAAATTATTAAAAATAACATCTGACGATGAAGTTCTATGATTTATGGTAGGAGAAATTATTCTGTATAAAACTTCTAAAATGTTCAATACTTACTGTTACAAGACAGCACACAAACTAAGAGTCCAACTACATACTCTTAATTCAAACAACATTTCAAACAAGGGGCTAAAGTTCTTTGAATTACGCTAACTGCCCTCACACCTGTGTTAATGGGAATGTCACATCTACTTCCCTCAGGAACACAGAGCTAATGAATACTTTGATGAATGTTATTTAGAGTTAGTCAGAATGGTGAACATAGACTGCTGTAAGAAATACTGAAATGGAAAATCATATTTGTTTTCTCAAAATGAATTTGAGAAATATAACCCAGGTCTTCCCATCATGTTAAAGTTCTTGAAGTAAGCAAGAAACTACATAGAATCATAGAATAGTTTGGTTTGGAAGGGACCTCTAACGGTCATCTAGTCCAACCCCCCTGCAATAAGCAGGGACATCTTCAACTAGAGCAGGTTGCTCAGAGCCCCCCGTCCAACCTGACCTTGAATGTTTCC